TGCAGCTCCCAGGCTGCACTTACCCGGGTTTTTTGCATGGATGGGGGGGGTGCCTGGGTGGCAGAGGCAAAGGGCTGACAGGCCTTTCCTGCCAATCTGTCTCTTGTTCAGATGAAGTGGTTGGAAAGTGCTCACTCTCCAGTTCCCTCTTTGGCTCAGGCACTCAGATAAGGCCTGGGCTGTCCTATCTTGCCCTGGGAGCTGTTCCTCCTCCCTAACAGGCTCCCTTCCCCGGCTGGCAGTTAGCAGCCGGCAGTGCTTGATAAACTTATCAGACCAAAGCTGAGCTCAGTGCACGCTCAGCTCCTCCCCAGCCCCAGATTTCCCCATTCCTGAGGACTCTCTGCTCTCTGCCTGCCTTGCTGGCTGGTACAGTGAACACAGTGGGCCCACAGGTCAAAATCAGCCCAAGGAGCAGATTGAGAAGTGCTCAGATTGAAGCAGCACATTCAGAGTGAGGGCATTGAGTGGGATGTTTACAGCTCTGTCTCTCTCCCTGCAATATCATTCACAAGTCAAAATGCTCTTGTCTGGTTTATCCTCCCTGTGTTGCTGCTTGCCCTGTCCCTCTGCTGGTTTTGAGTTTAGTGGTTTAATGCAGGGTCTCTGTGCCTGCTGCTGGATTGCTGAGCCAGCTCTGGAGCTGGGGTGCTCTGCTGGGTTCAGTTCCTATCACTGGTTATTGGTCACAGTTGGGCGTTCCAGCCCAGATCAAGGCTCCATTGTGTGAGGTGCTGGATGTGGGAGATAAGGAGGAGCAGTCTCATTCCTGACTATCTTACCGTTGAAATAAACAAGTGAAATGAAGGGGAGAGGGGGAATGATTATCCTCCTCTCACAGATGGGGTGAAGATCTTCTGAGAGCTTCACAGTGCGCTGAACAACTTCAGAAATCCAGCACTCAAGTCTTGCCCAAGGTCATGCAGGAAATGTGTGGCAGATCTTAAGTCTCAGTTTAAAGTTGCAGACAGTGTGTGTCCATGGCGACTGCTAGTTTTAAGATGGTGGGCCAGGAATTCTGCAGGGATCTGTGTTCTCTTATTTCTCATCCAGCACAGAGATTCACTATCCCAGAATAATTTTTGTGTGGCTGTTCTGGGTTGCATCCTCTGAGTGGATGTGCTCTTCCAGGTGAAAAGTGGGGGGGAAATCTCTGCTTTGTGATCAGACGAAGTGTTTAAAAAATGGTTTGTGATGTACCTTTTTTTTGTTATTCTGTAGCAGCACTGCAAGATGAGCTCCATATCCAGTCCCATGTTAGACCCTTAATGGCAGGCAGGAATGTTTTACCTGTGCAAAGAAATGTGTATGCAGCTATTTCTGGGAGATTGCCCCACACCTTCAAATTTCCTTTTTTGTGCTGTGCTGGTGAGCTGGATTTAAACTGCTGCTGTGTCTCCATCACCTGAGACTGGGGAGCAACCTGCTGTGAGGATAAGAGACTTTGCTTTTATCTTTTTTTCACTGAAAACCCTTTCTTGTGATGTCTAAGGTGGGAAGGAAGTGGATGCAGCAAATAACTTTAACCAGTAGAACCTGCACCCAACTGGAGCCTAATTCTTCGCTGTCCTTCCTCTCAGTTCTGTTTAGGGCTTCCTTAACAATTGCCAATACAAGAAATCTTCAGGGTCTTGCCTTCTCCAGGATTGCACTCGGTGAGGTTATTACAGCCTGGGATAAGTCCAGCCCAATGCTGTGCTAGCTGGGAACACCCCTCTGCTTTCCTGCAGGTGTCCTGTGGCTCCGTCCTCATTAGGAGGACAGATTCATCCCGTGTCCAAACTGAAATCCACCCTTAACCATAGCTCTTCTGGGCTGCTGCTCTCAGTTCAGTACCTCAAGGCTGTCTGGAAGATACAGAGGCACCTCTCTCCTCCTGACAGATGCCCGGGGTTAGTGCTTTGCATGCCCCTCATTTGCTAAACAAAACAGCCCAGAGACCAGGATTATTTTTCCCCCAGCAATAAAGGGAAGAAGGTGTGAAGGGGACTGGGGAAGTACAGGATACAGAGCCTGCTCAAAGGGAGGCAAAAAACAATCAGCTCTTTCTTCAGCCACAGAGATTAGTTGAGATTTTGCTTTTTGCTATCTGTTTCCTTGACTGACTGACCAGAATGTTTGTGATGCAAGGGGAGGTGGTGAGAAAGGGGTTGTACCAGAATGATCAGAACTGAGGAGGATTTGCATGCTTGGAGAGCAAGGCCAGGTGTGTTTGGGGTTGGTGACAGCCATGGCCTGGTCCTGATGGGTGCTGAGCATCCCTGGGTGCCCGTGGTGCAGATTCAGCAGCTCCAAGGACCAGGGCAGCCCCTTGCCTGCTCTTTGCAGCAGCTCTGCCCACGGCTGTGCTGTGCTGGGAGGGAAGAAGGGGCAGTGGGGCTCTGCCTTGTTTTTCCTTCAGGCTGCTGGCATCCATAGGCCTCAAGCAATGCCAGGGCTTGGGCATTAGGTGATCTTAAAGTGGCAACTCATTACTGGAGAGGAAAACAACAATAGTGTCTTAGTGGAAAATACTGCAAGTTAATTCCCTGTCCTTTTCTCCCTTTTGTCACCTCCTGTCTGTGGTTTGCTCGTGCCTTTGCCAGTGTTTGCAGGCTGTGGCTGCACAGGCTGTGTCTCTGACAGGCTGCCTGTGGGAATGGGTCAGCCTGCATCCCCTGTACTGCTCTGGCCACAGCTTTGTTCTCCAGAGCTCTGCAGCAGCACACTGCCTGCAGCCATCCCAATGTGCTCCTCCCCTCGCTGCCCATCCAGCCAAAGTCATCCCTGGATCTCCTGGGATGTGCTCCCCAGGCTCCTCACAAGCACCAGGCTACGTGTTAACAACACCAGTTCTCTCCTGGCACTGCCCCCTCCAGTGTAGCTGTTCTTCAGGAATGTCTGGGCTCAGCAACCCACCCTGGAGTCCTGGGGAAATAGCAGGCAGGATTGGGGTGATGTGTGCTGTGTTTGGAGGGAGGAGGTGTAGGAACACACAGGGGAGAAGATCCCAGCTGTCCACTGAAGGTTATAGCTCCTCTGTACTTTGGAAATCAAGGGCAGGAATGAAAATCTAATGGATACAGCAGCTCTTCTTCATGAGGTTCAGAAGAACCAGCTGTCTGGTTTGGTTTCATGACTGGTCACAGGCACTCTTGCCAATTGATGTGTGCCAGCGCTTGACTCCAAATGGCCAAAATTTAGAAGCTTTCCGTGAGTCAGACACCCCTGCTGTCCCCAGGGAAGTCTGTGCTGGTGTGCCTGTGTGGTTTGGGGCTGGAGAGTTTTGCTCCTGAGCAGTCCAGATGCTGACAGCCTCTTTGAATATCTCTGTTTGCAGATTAGTGGAGGACAAGGGGAATAACAAACACAGTTTGCATTTTGGGCAGTAATTTTAATAAGCTGAAATTACTTTACTTTGAGCAATGCTTGTGCATGTGTGGGCACTCACAGGTGTGTGCGTGGGGCTGGAGTCCAGTTCCATCACAGGTTATGCACTTTCCCCAGAATGGCTCAGGGAAGGACAGCAGGGATTTTTGGGGGGCTTTGGCTCTGTTGGACTCACATTCCGTGCACCTGGTGTGGCCCTCCTGCTCTGCAGAGCTGGCCCTGGCTCTGTGGGGCTCTGCACCAATCTGTCTCCAGCATGGAAGTCTCTCTAATGGGAGCCCTTTCCTGCACGTGAATTTACATTTTTATTCCCACTCAAACCATAAAGAGCAGGCCTAGACTCTCTCCCTTCTCCTTTTGCACCCCATCCCCACTACCTGTGTCCCCAGAGTCAGGTGTGAGCCATTCTTTAAATGAGTATTTTGAACATGAAATACACTGTGTTAGCCCAGTTACTAAGAAGGAACAGATTTATCAGATAAATCCCAGCAAGCCTGTACATGTCACTGTCTGGTATAGTGCAATAAAAATATACATTAGAATAAGTATAAATACATATTTACAGTGTACAAGTAAAGCCAGGAATACAGACTCTGGGTTTGAGCTTCCAGGTACATATTAATGACTTACAGCTTAGGCACAGCATTAAAAGGGCAAGAACATTTTAGGTTTTAGGAGAATAACTTGGGATTTACAGCAGTGGAACTGAGGGCAGTTCTCTCCTGGCAATACATGAATTTTCCACTTGGATCATTTTGTCTTTGCCCATGATGGGCACTCCTTCATAAACCTCTGGAGTGAATGGCCACAGCCTGTTCCCAGGGAATTCCCAGTGGTGTCATTGTCCAAGGCCGTGTGTTCAGGGATGCAGTTATGGAGTGAGCCATGTGCTGCTACAATGCCCCAATTAACTGAAAACACTTGTCTGTGTTACAATAATGTTATAATAATACTTTGTCCTTCCTGTTAAGAACTCAGGGGACTCCACAAACCTGAGTGAATGGCCCCACGCCACCAGGAGGGGTGGAAAAACAAAAGCCAAGTGCAGTGACTTGCCAAAGGTTATAGAGAGAGAATTTGGCAGAGCTTGGAGGGGAACTGGTTCTTTACTTGCTCCAGTGCTTTGCTTCAACCCCTAGACCTGGCAAAAGGAGGAAATACCACTGCTCTCTTTGTATAATACTTGTGAGGTACTTGCATGCTCTGCCAACATCTCCAGGCTCAGCCACTTCCTCCTTGAGGAGAGTTCCTGGCAAACAGAAATCTGGCCCTTGACATCGATCTCCAGGGTCACTCCTGCCCATGCAGTGACCCAGGATTGCTCAGGACAGCTCTAAGCTGGCATGTCCAGCATGCAGGGAAATATTGTGGGACATTCCAGCCCTGATTCCAAGGGCAGCCACTCTCCCATGGTACCAAGACAAGGGGATGATTATTAGCTCGTGCCTGGTGCTGTGGTCTGGCTCTTCCTGGAGCCTGCTTGGGATCTCTGCAGTGTGGTGTGTCTGAGGAATGTATTTAGAGACCCCTGTTATCTGCTAGGGATAGGAACTGTTTCTTCAGTGTTTTCCTCCCACTCCAAGCTAAAAATACAGCACAGTTAACTTGTCATTTGATCACAGTAAATGCTCTGCTGAAAGAAATTACTTTAAGGTGTCTGTTGGCAGAATTTATGGCCTGGGTAAGTCTCTGCAGAAGACCAGTCCAGGTTGAACACAGCTGACTTAATGCAATCTATTTGCATGCCCTGGGCTTATCTTCCCAACCATCGGAGCAGAACATGGTTACAGCACCAGCTTTGTATAGATTGTTGCTGCCACCAGCCCAGGAGTCCCCTCCTCCCCACTGGGCAGACTGATGAACTGGATTCTGCTCCTGGTGTAAAGCCAGAGTAGCAGTGACCTTGGAGGAATTCCTCTGGATTTACACTTGAGCAGGTGATGTCAGATCGGGGCTGATACCTGTCGCAATCAAAAAGTGAAAGCTCCCACAGGTTTCTTTGAGATGTGCAAGGCCCTGTGGTGCCAAACACCAAAGCCAGCACACGACTTGGCCAGTCCCCAGGGGAACACGGGACACCGTGGGAGCTTTTTGAGCTGGATGGAGGTGCTGTGGACAGTCTTGTTCCCTGGAGCATGAAGTGGGAGCTCCAGCAAAGACCCCTCACTTGAGGCTGTGCTGGGTCTCTCGGTGCCGGCGCAGATCCACCTTGCGCTGGAAGCCCTTGGCACAGAGCTCGCAGCTGAAGGGTTTGAAGCCCGTGTGTTTGCGGCTGTGGGTGATCAGGTTGGAGCTCTGGCTGAAGGCTTTGCCACACACCTGGCATTTGTGGGGTTTCTCCCCTGCAGGGCACAGAAAATGGTAAAAAACCCAAACAAACACTTTAACAGGTGAACAAAGAGAGAGAGAAATTTGGGCATCAGGTGCTGCCAGCCCAGTTCTCCTGGTGATGTGTCTGGATTGAGATCCAGCACCAGAGGGTGGGAAGAACCAGGGACAGTCCTCTCCAGGTGAGTGACTTCATTCCCAGCATCCAGGGCTGGGTAGAACTCCAACATGCACCAGAGGCTGGCCAATAACCACCTCCTTGTCAGGCAGATGTGCTTCAGCCTCCTGCTGCCTCACCCCCCATGGAATAATGACTTTGCAGTGCCTCTGGACCCTTATCCCCAGTCTAAAACCTCTTTACATCAGCATGATGGGCTCTAATTTTGGTTTCCTCGTGGAATATTTTGTTTCTCACCTGTGTGGATGTACGTGTGCTTCTTCATGTCTGACTTCTGGTGGAAGCGCTTCCCGCAGTACTGGCAGGGGTAGGGCCGCGTGTCCGAGTGGATCAGCAGGTGAGTGGAGAGGGTGGAGGAACGTTTGAATGTCTTCCCACACATCTTGCACTCAAAGCTTCTTTCCTGTTGGGGAAGGAAAATCATGGGATGTCTGAGGCTGCAAGACATGTGACAGAGCTAAGAGTGATGAGAGTTGTAGATTTGATAAGCAAATCTCCTTGGCTCGTGGACTGACAAAGTTGGGTGCAGCACAAAGGGAACGCAGGGAGGGTTAATTATGGAAATGGATCACATCTTGTGATCCCAACTCCTGCACCCTTTAGCAGGAGGTGAGGCACAGAAGAGCGAGTAGCAATGATCCTCCCTTCCCTTCCAAGGAATTCTGAAGGGCAGACTGAGATTTGTGAGACCAAGAGCTATGAGCTGTGGTTTTCAGAGCTCCTGTCCTTGTCACTGCATGTCAGAGTCCAGGACATCCCTCTGGTTGCCCTGGCTGTCTTGAGACCCTGGCAGTGGGCTCAGAGACCCTGGCAAGAGTCAAAAAAACATCTGTGGCTTCAATTTTAGCCTGTGGAAAACTCTCAACTCTGGATGAGGAATTACTAGTCACAAGGGTTTTAGTAGTTGGATATTTGAACTAACACAGGGTAGAAAAATAGAATTTTGGGTTTTTTAAGATAAGGTGTTCAGGGGACAAGATGGAGGGATTTGGGCATGTCCTAACCTTCTTCTTGTTCTTCTTGTCCTCCATGTCTTGCTGTGATAGTGACATTTTTCTATTGGTTTAAGATAGGGACACACTGTCCAACATAGATTTTAGGTATTGGTACGGGAACTGTAAACATGGTAAACGTAATTTTGAGTATATAATGGGGGAGCTGCCCAGGACTCAAGGACAGACTGCCATGGTTTCTGTATTAGGCAGACCATGGCAGTTCAGAGAGAGAATATAAAGATAAGCAGAAATAAACAACCTTGAAAAAGCAGCTAAAAGCATTCCAAGACTCTTTCTTCAGCTGTGTTCGGGCTAGGGAAGCAAAGACTCTTTTTGGATCTCTCTTGGGGTCACCCTGACCCACAGGAACCCCAAGAGAGAAGAAATAGACAACTGCATGCCACAGGAAAGGCATCACGTTTGTAACCTAGGAAGTGCCACTTCCTCTGTAATGGGTTAAGCAAGAGCTGAGGTCCAGAGCTGGTTCTCTGGAACCATGTCACCCACCTGGGAGTGGATGTTGGTGTGCTGCTCCAGGCTCACAGCGTGCCCGAAGGTTTTGCCACACACTTCACAAGCAAAGGGACGGGTCCCACTGTGAGACCTTCGGACATGGACCTCCAGTCCGTGGGGAGTGGAGAACACCTGCAAAACAAAATCCCAGTGATTTCCTGACATGAGGTGGCTGCATCTCCATCTCTGTTTTCAATCCCTTCTCTGTATTTAATTCTCCCCTCTGTGAGAGCTCATGTGAACTGCAGCATTCCCATTGCCTTGCTCTCCTGACTGCAGGCCCCGCTCTGAGCCACACACTTCGGTGTGCCCGACTGAAGAATGGGTTTCATGCTTCATGTGTGCCATGAAAATCCCTGCAGGCCCTCCCCACCCCAGAGGTTCTGGTCCAACACACACCTTGTTGCACTTCACGCAGTGGAAGGTGTCCATGTCTGAGGAATAATGCAGGCTGTAATCCAGGGGGGGCTCGGGGCTGGGCAGGAGGTGACTCCCATAAAGGCTCACGGGGTGCTCCAGCAGGGCTGACTGCATGCTGGAAGACATCTGCTGGTAGCTGTATGGCATGTGGAAAGCATCCCAGGAATAGCCAGCTTTGTAGAAGGTTGGGGTGCTCGCTGTGTTAGTGCAGTCCTTGATCTGCAGCCCTGGCATGGCCATCTCTGAGTTTGCAAAGGAGAGGGAGAGGTGAGTGTCACACATTGCCTGAAGTTGGGCACCTGTTAAAAAGTTCCCCTTCCTCTCTGACCTCAGGAATTGCAGTTGGCAACTTCTTGATTCAAATCCTGATTCCCCATCGTGACTTTGATTTCATTCTGAGGAAATTTTATGGCAAAAGATGCTGTGGAAATTTTATGGCTAAGGGAATATTGAGCCCCCCTGCTAGCCCTCCTTGATGAGGTGTTTGAACAAGTAGCCTGTGGGCACCTGCCTTGACCCACATAGCACAGAGCTGCATTAATGTGGGGAGGTTCATCCACTGGGAATCACAGCACAATCCTTCATTCTTTCTGGTGCAGACCAGAACTGTAAAAGGGAAATACAGAATGCTCCTGATGAGCTCTGCCTGTGGCAAGTTTGACCATTGATGTCAAAATAAGAGCTCTCATTTACTGAAAATATGGACCCAGTTTTAAGGGATCCATAAACCAGCTCAGTCCTAACCTCTCTTGCAATTGGGGTTTTGGGTAGCCAACCTTGAGCTGAAGGGCCTGGCAGCATCCTGCTCAGGTACTGGACAGGGACACTGTCTTCTTTCAGTTCAGGGGGGTCCTTTTCTTGTTTTGGAACCACACATCCCAGGTCCTGTTTAGTGATGTCCTCTGGTCTCCTGTCTCCTGTGGCTGTAAAGAGCAGTGTCACACTTAGGTCACAGTTATGTCATTCTTGGTGCTACAAGAAGAGTCTGTTTAGGTGAGTTTTGCACTCTTGTGTGAACTCCTGCCTGGACACAGCAGCCCATGCTCCATTCCCTGAGGAAGTGCAGAGTGATGCAATCAGCATTCAAGGTCTGCCCATTGCTGAGGAAGGGAAATTCCAAGCAGGATGAGATAGGCAAGGCAGAGGGGGCAGGATGAGAGGATAGGATCCTTGATACCTGATATAGTTAGAGAAAATCAACCCTAGAATTACGTCTGTAAGAATAATTTCCCTATTTCAAACCATTTCCATTTGTGTGGGTAACTAACAATCACTAACTTATTAACCTCCCCACCCCTCTCCTGAGAGAGTTGGGTATTGTTAACATGGATTTATGGACAGCCAAGAAGGGAAGCAGACAGGGGAGGCAAGTCCTTATGCACTGAGCTTGTCTCCTCCTGCCCACACTCCTATTTATTTCTCCGTGCTTGTCCCAGACCTTAAAGACACCAACCAACCCTCGTTAAACTTTGTAGAAAAATATAAAATCACAGAATTAACATGTGTATCCTTTCTGCTGGAGATGGGATAGATCTGCTGAAGGACAGTATTTATCTCTTGTCAAAGCTTGCCACTGCCCCAGAGACACAACAAATGGTCAAAGGATCATGGCAGGAATGGAAATTAAAATGTTACCTCCTTTCTTTTTTATCAAACTTATCTCAGGGCCGGACTCTAATTTGATAGCCAGGGCTAGAACAAAGGGTAAACTGATCTTAAATTTGAATAAAGAAAATTTGAATGGTGCCTGAAGGGAGAAGATAATTACCCTGGCCCTGCCACTGCTTGGATGGCTGTGGGAGAGCAGGAGCAGGAGCAGAGGGAGCACGGCAGGGATGGGCAGAGCTGTGTTGGGTGGTGGTAACACCAGGAAGAGATGGCAACACCCCAAGGGAGAGAAGATGCAGTCGAGAGAGAATGAGGGCTGTGAGCACAGGAAACCAGAGATGGAGGTGGCAGAGCTGGGAGTTTGTAGAACATTGCCAATCCAGTACAAGCTCTTTTCCCAGCTATAAGTGGCCTGAAGTTGGTCATTTTTCCCAAATATGACCAACTCCACACAGCATCTTATAGCTCAAATCCCCCCAGCAACCCAGCAGGAAACAAAGGGAGGATCAGAGTGGATTTGGTGCAGAGAAAGGACACACTGTAAGGGATCAGCTTGCCCTTACACTGACATCCCTGTGTGGAAGCCCTTGGATGCTCTTTAGCTCACTCATCCTGCTCCCTTAGCTGCCTACTGAATTATTGATTTACCTCGGTGTGTTGCTACAAGCCCAGGGGATGGATTGACTCACCAGTGAAGGCAGAGGTGACTGGAGCCCATGTGAGTACTGGCAGGTCATCTTCCACACAGCGGTGCTGGTGATAGGTGTGAGCCTTTTTGCTCTTCACCAAAAAGGAACGTGGCATCTTCCATTCACCTTCTGGGATGAAGCACAGAGAAACGCCAGGTAAACCTCTGTGGCTTGGGGAGCAAATTCCCACTTGCTTCAGGTTAAGGGCACTCTGTAAAAATCACACTTCACAATCTACCCCAGGCTGAGGCAAAGGATTACAGAAAAAGAAACAGGGCCAGGCTTAGCCTGAGAGCTGTGTTACAGACCAAAACTGTCTGTGGCAGACACGTTGGAAGCCAGGACCTGTCTCTTGTAGTCCTGCTCTGACTACAGGACAGGCTGCATCTCTGATCTCCTCCCTGACAGGACACAGAAGGAACCACAGGTTAGAGATCCTTACTGGAGAAAGTCTGATTGTTGGTGCTGCACCTGGAAGGGCTCTGTCCCAAGCCACGGCCTGGGCTCTACTGTGAAATTATTATATAAACAATAATGATAGAAACAACACCAATAATAGGAGAGAGACAGGGAAATCCCTGCAGAATGATGTGTGGAGGGCTTCCTTCTTACTTGACTAGTTGGAGTTCTGGCTGACAAACAAGCGAGCAGAGGCAGAGCAGGAGGGCTGGGTGAGAAGTCACCTTTTGGACCCAACTCAAATATTACAGACCGTTGAAATGGCGGGTTCGAGACAAACATAAAATGCTGAAATTTAATCATACCAAATTCTCTTGCAATGCATGTGTTATCTTTGCTACCCAGAACCCAGCCCACCCTGTGCCCACTCCCTGGGGCTGGTAACTGCTCTGAGGGAGGCAGGGTGGCAACAGGGACAATGTTGTGTGCAGTAATATCAGCTGGTGCCTTATTTGCATGTGTATTTGCATTTTCCCTTGTAATTGTTTGGGATAGGGGCACTAAAAACAAATCTTGCTGTATTTCATTTGAAAAGTCAGCATTTAAGTCCTGACTCTTGTTGACTGGAAACTGTTATTAAGTTTTGTTCCTTCCTGAGAGCGGTTCAGTGGAACTTACTCATTTACTAAAGAAACCCCCCCAAAATCCATAAAGTTTGAGCCTGTTATGCAGGAATTATATGAAATGTCTGTCCAAGGAGAGAGCAGTCCTGGAATCCCAAACAGGCAGGGATGGAAAGGTCTGTTCCCCAGGGTTCAGAAGTGTCTCTATTGCCCCTTCATGCTAAATAGAATTACAGAGCCCAGTGATGTTTTGTTCAAAGGTCTGAGGGCCACATTTACAGTGGTGCCTAAAGCTGTGGGATTCCCACAGCCAGGTCTGCTGGGGACAGGGGGATTGCCAGCGTGCCCCCAGCTCAGCTGCCTTTGGATATGCTGCTTTTAAAATCTGGTCCAGGATTCCCGCTGTTCCATCTATGATTTCTTGTTGGCTCTAACCATTTTTTCTTCTGAAATGACTCACCTGTTTTTCTTCATCTTTTTCCAAGAAATTTACGTGTAGCTTGAGATGAATAATAGAAAGCTGAGGCCAGGAGCAGACTTTTAATTTAATTTTAGAAAAAGGACAGAACAGCACTGAGGAGGCCCTTGAGAGAAGGGCCACTGAAGTACACACGGCTGCTTTTTGCTCTCCTGGAACTCTCTAATGAGGTTTATTCAAAGAGCTGTAAAGAGTCTGTGCCCAGTGAAAAGCTGCAGGCACAGAAATAGCTCCAGCTCAGAGCAAACACAGGGCTGTTCTGCAGTGGGGTATAACCCTTCAGCAGCTCTGCTCAGCTCGTGTCCCTCCCATTCCAGCAGCTCTGCTGAGCTCTTGGTCAGTCCCAGCTGAGCTACCTGTGCACAGACCCAACCCTGCATTATAGACCTGTCACAAGTAAAAGTGCTGCCTCAAACCCTTTAGACCTGGAATTTCCACTCCTGTCACAGGGGTTTTCCCATGTGGTGGGGCAGCACTGTGTCTACAATGAGGGGTATTCATACCAGGAAACTTCACACATGGGATTTCTCTGCCTGAATTAACCAGCTCGTTTCCCTGGGCCGTGGCAGTGGGTAACCCTGGGGTGAGAGCCTGCATCCAGCTGTGCCTGCTGGAATTGCCACTCTCCCTGCCCTCAGGCTGGAGAATCCTGTGGCAGCAGCTGGGCAGCTCAGCCAGGTAAATCAGAGGACTGGAGATGGGTGGTTGGAACAATCCAGCAAAGTTTTATGGCAGTGCCCATATGCCAAGTACAGACAGCACCAAGTACAGCCCCTATTCTCCACTGGTGCCTAAAAGCAGATGTCCATGAATAAAAAGAATCTTTCTGGATGTGTTTGCCCCAGCCTGTGTAAAAGTCAAATTTGGTCCAGTATCCTGAGTGCTGATAACAGCCACGACTGAGCACAACCATCCTCAATGGACTGAACGTTGCAAAAGGAAGTCACCTTCCCCCACCCCATTTTACAGAAAAAAAAAGGAACTGGGAGCCCAAAGCAGAGTTAATTAACAACTGCACTGGACTGGCTTTGTGATTCACACAACCAGGCTAGAGGAAAGCTGCAAGCAGAGATTGTGGGAGGAAAAAGGACTGTTTTCCCTCGAAACTCCAGATTATCTGTAGCAAGAGATCAGCTGCTCCTAATGGCTCACTGTATTTCCCAGGAAAAGCAGTGCTGTGGACAATGGACCCTGCACCCTGCTAGGTTTTAGAGTTATTGAAGCTTGTGACAGAATTTAGCTTCGACCTTTTGCTGAAAATTAAACTTTCTTTTTTTCTTCATTTCAGCTTCTGCGGCAGCTGTTTCTACCTGGGCTGGTAAGTGCACAAGGGAAATTTATGGCTTGGGCAGGAGTGCCCATCCAAAATGGAAGTGTTCTGGCATTTTTATTAATTCAATATAGGACATAAAACCAATAGGTGGCTAGAACTGGCATTCTTATTAACCTGCCATTCATGCAGCTATATAATAATGTTCTCATGTGCCCTGAGGAAAAGACAGCGGGAGCCAAGGGGAAAAAAGCAGTTTCACTATTTTGGGTACCTCACCTGAAGCACCTTAGAAGGGTTTCTTTCACCAGTTATAAATTCCCCAGTCAGATCTGAAAGCATTTGCATTTTCAAACTCAAAGTTTCTTCATCCTCAGCAATGCTTTTGGATAATTTTGCAGAATATCCCAGGTAAAACACTGAAACATTGCAAATGGGCTTGGTGGCTTCTGACTCCAGGATCTTCATTTTACTGGATCCTGTGTTCCTCAGGAAGCCCTCACTCTCACTTCACTGCACAACAGCTCTCAGCACCCAAACCCACAGGTCCTGGATGGAATTTAGAGGAAATCCATACTCGCAGTGAATTAGGTTATGAAGCTTTTGGTGGGGACAGTGTTTGCAGGATTGTGCCACACTGAACCCAATTTGCAGTGAAAGCTCAATTTGAAAGCTGGCTTGCATTTTTCTCTATATTCAAGCAATTCTGTTTTCAGATTTCCAAGGTTAATTGCAGAGAATAAATGTTTTTTCTTGCTACACTCAGTGAAACATTAAATTTTAACTGGCATTGCAAGGCTAGTACTCACTAGCAGTACATTACACCACATCTTCAGATAAGCTGATGAGCATACAAAGTTTTAGGCTAAAAAGGGCTGTTTCCTTTCCATTGCTTAATTTATATGATTTATATTTCTATCTTATTATTGCTCTTTTCCTGCTTTTTTTTTTCTTCTTTTTCTATTTCTTCTGTAAAAAGTGAAGCTTCCAAAATGCAGAATAGTTTCTCTTTCAAAAGACTACATTTTTGAAGAAAAAAAGGTGCAAAGTAGAACATGATGTGTCTGTGGTTTAAGAGCCCAAATAAAATAAAATAAAATATGAAGTTTTATGCACTATTGACTCTTTAAATATAAAGTCAAATGTGAAAGATTTTCAGCTCTTCACAACAAAATTTATAATTTCTTCACTAGTCCACCCTTACAAAATTGAATGTACTTGGGGCAAGTAATTTAAATACCACTTTTTTATTGGAAAAATCAACAGGACACTTTTAATTCTTGTGGCAAGACTGGATAAATGTACACTATGCCAGGGGCAGCAAATTATGGTGGAAATTTTGTCAAAGAAGTTGAACAGAAATGCTGGTATAACTGCAACACCCAGAAAAAAAATATTTAGACTGTTAATTGCAGCACTTGCTCTCTAGGAAGCTCACATAGCTCCCTGTGATGTTGGGAACGCCACTGGCTTTAGGAAACTTTGCCTTAGGGTTCCATGGATGGAATTATTCAGTGCAATCTCCCAGATTCCAGATCTCCTTAATGTACAGATGCAATTTCAATGTGAACTTGCAAATCATTAAAGTATTGCATCAATCTTGTGATATGAGAAGTGCCTATAAATAGCTAATTCCATATGCTAAAAAATTGTTAGATTAATCAGCTTATATTTTAAAATGGTGGGAAAATAATAAAAGGTGGATTAAAAGCAAAGAATCCTGAATGGGAGAGGAATTGTCATCTACAAAAACTGGCACAGGTGATGGCAACAGAGGTGTGCTGCTCTCTGAATGTAAAGGTCTGGCCCAATAAAAGAGCAAATAAAAGAAAAAACACAGTTTGTCCTCTCCTAAATGACAAAGTAAAAAACTCCACAGCTCCTGCTGATGGAGCTGGCTGGGACACAGGTACCTGAGACCGTTGTCACATCTCCTGTATTTTGCTCTATTGCCATTTTCACATGTAAAAGTGAAGTACAGGGTATATAATTTCAAAAGGTTCAATTCAAATGAGTGAGGTGAACTATTACCATAAAGGAGCCCTCAGGACAAGTGGCTTAGGCAATGGAATATATTAGATATTTGCAGACACAAGCGAAGAAGAAGAAGAAGAAGGAGAAAAAAAGCTTAGAAAAACATCAGAAAAATGAGAAAACCAATGCAATTAAAAGTGTTTAAAAGAATAAATCAATCACCTGTTTGAGGGACTTTGCTTTACTGGATTTGCCTTGAAATCTCCCCAGACAAGCGAGACGTCGTCCTCTCAGGACTCCTCTTCCACTTTTTCACTTGGTTGCAGTCAGTTGAAATAGATACTTCTCCTTTTTTCTCTCTGTTTTTTTTTTCCCCTGTTCCCCTCCCTGATTTTTCAATCAGATTATTTGTGTCAAAATCTGGCGGTGAAGAAACAGCCAATAAGAGGCAGAGCCCAGAAAGTATTTGCTTATCAAAACTTCCCAGGACTTTGACAACTTGAAGAGAATTCACGATGCCCAGCTCGAAGCCCTGGGGGCAGCACCCTTCACTTTTGGGGGCAGCTTTGCCTTCTGCAGGAATACTCCTCTGTCATATTGACAAAAAGCATGACACAGGAAATAATGTACTGAGCAGGCATTTGTTATTTTGTCTTTTCCTTAAAAAAAAAAAAAAATTTAAAAAGCCCTTAAGAAACCTGTATTTTTACAGACATTCATCCCCGCATCATATCTCTCACAAACAGACACACCATCTGTCTCACACACACACACACTCACATACTTGGGGCTCATAAACAAAACCATCGAGCACATGTGCACAGAATTATTTTATTCCAGAATGGATCTTTTATCTCTCCAATTTCCAAGGAAAAACGAATAAATACTTGCATGGTATAACAGAAGAAGATGCGTGTTAATCACCCTTCATTTTCCCAGGCATATGTGTGTGCAATCCACACATATTTTAGGCATTGCTCTATCTATATACAGCTGTATACAGGGTATAAATATAGATTTAAGAAAGCTCATTAAGCAAGCTCATTAACAACAGCTTTGCAAAAAGCTCTTCGAGAGCAATAATAAGAATTTGCACTTCTATCGCTTGCTTTCAATAAAGGTTTGAGAATGGGTTTGCAAATGTGAAATAATTGAGTGTCAAAGTAATGGCTCAGTGGAAGGAGAGAGGATGGAGCAGGGGCAGAGTGACTGTCTCCAGGTTGTTCTCTAGCACAGGTGGAACAGGAGCTGGAGAAGAGTTTTTTCTTTTAGAATCCTTGGGCATCACTCGTATTTGGAGACAAACAAGGAGAGCTGAAATCCCCAAGTACTTGTGAGAGAGAGAAGAGTAGTAATTCCTTGATTCCACCTGTTCTCTAGTTATCCCAACCCTCCTGGCTGTGCAGGTGCACAGTGGCATGAGCTGTGTGTGCCCTCGGATGTCCCCTCCTGTGCTCACAGCTCTCTGTGCACGGTGGAACTGAGAGTGCAGAGATGCCTTCCAAGGAATTCATCATTGCAGAGGAAAAGAAGTGTACAGCCACCCTTGTGTGCTGAGTACTGGACTGCCAGCAGCAGGAAAACTCCTCTGGAGATGGAGTTTCCTGCTCCCTGTGAGCTCCCAAACTCATTTCACTGCTTCCTACAGCTGCGTGGCTCTGCTGGGTCCCTTTTCCTGCTGCAGCTCAGGGTGGGGAACACCAGGAAGGAACAATCTTTGTTCTGGCCCGGGCTCAGCGGGAGGCTGGGGCTTCCCTGACGGAGCAGATGCAGGGACACTGGGGGCTGAGAGCAGAGGGACTCTGCAGCCAGCCACGGCCCTGCTGTCCCCAAGGCTGTGCCAGCCGTGCCATTGCCCCATGGCACCGGCCGGGCTGTGCAATGGGGTTGATGCAACTCGGAGATAGGAGCGTGGATTTCACCCGCATTGAGAAAGATTCAGATTTTGATCTTAACCCATCTGTCATAATACTGAGCATAATTAATTCTTGTTGTTTATAGAAGCCAACAATCCCTTTTCCTGCTCCCTCCTCCCCTCCATATTTATCTAGCTGAGTTTTGCATGAAAGAAACGTTCCCAAGGCATTGTGCTTGGAAGCTGATTTGCATCCTCTTAAACACAGGCATTTGAGAGATTACATTTCCCACTACAAAAACAAGCATTGTAACAGAAACCCAAAATGTACATTGCAGCTTCAGGATTTGGTATGGAGACAGTTACAGGAATTAAACAAAACATGAAAATGACAAGCTGCTGAAAAGGACTGAGATGTAGTTTCATGAAACATTGGAGCTGGCTTCTGCCAGCACCCCTGAGCACAGACTTCCCATTGATACACAGTGCATATGGCTGCAGAATGTGTCTCTTAAACTCAAGACAGTCCAAGTAAGTCAACCACATTAAAAAAAAAAAAACAAAACAAAAAAACCAAAACAAAACTAGAAAAGTAATGTCAAAAGCTTTAAGGTCTCCTCCAGGCCACTCTAAGAGTCTATGTTCAGTAAACCCCCCCGCCCCTCATTCAGGACCAAGCCTGCAAAGCCTGAAGGGACATGGGGACACTGGGAGTGATAACTCCTTCTCCCTTAATTTGATTTCAGGGATTCCTGTGGAGCAAAAAGCTGCAGGATGGGAGTGCAGTCCGCCTGGCTTGTGCTCTACTCTTCTCTAGATTTCTGACTATGGCTTCTGTTCATCTCTCCACTGAAAGCACCACCAAAAGGTGACTTACACAAGCTGAATTACAAACCCAGAGAGCTGGAGGTGCATTTGGGGCTGCAAGAACCTTTGAGCTGACCCCGTGTGGTCATTCTTATTTTATGCTCTTCCTGTTGATATCATTTTCCCCGTTCTGTCTTTTTCAGGCTCAGCAGAGAAGGGAGAGCCACAGAGAGCTTATCTGGGCTCCCAGAGGCTTGTCCTGGCCCTGACCCGCACAGGCACGGGGGATGTAAAGAGCCCTGCTTGCACACAAGGACAGTTTAATTCTGTGTGCTGCTGTGAGTGCTCACTACACGTCACATGCTCCAGTGCACCCTAAGTAAATAGATTTTTAAATGTACAGCTCAGTAATAATAAACAGGTTAATTACAACATAACATGTCCCTTTTAGTGCAGTTGTTTCTCCTTTCAAATCCAGCAGCAAACCCCTGCTATAGCATCCATGTTTTCTTTGACAATTTGACTGTTACAGCAATTAAGTCCCAGTAAAATAACACGTCTAATTGCTTCCAGCTCTTTTCTGAAGCTCATCTTAATTTCCACTCTTTTCTGTGGCAGATTAAACAAACATGTCTTCTGCACATCAAGAAAAAAAAAAAATTACCATCACTCTGTCCAGACCATAATAAATATTAATTGCCAGGCACAAGGCAGGACTAGATTAAAAATATGCTGGCTCCAAGCAACTCTTATCTCATCACGAAGCAGGATGACCCACTGCAGGTGCAGCAGGGAGGAACTATCTCAGTCCTGCAGGGATCAGAGCTGGTAAACACAAAAACTGCTACAAAAATTAAAAATCAACCGATCCCTCTCAGATGGGGCTCTAATCTCTTGGTTTTTTTTTTTTTTTTTCTCCTTGAAAATTGAATGCCTGTGGTTCCTGCTGGGCTCTGGAGACAATTCATGGAGGCTCCAGAGTCAGACGAAGCATCCTCGGTGTGTCCCTGGCAGGGCTGCTCCTCCTTGGAGAAGGAAAACCACGGAGATCCCACCAGCCTGGGGACTCCAATGTTGAGTTTTAAACCTGTTGCAAACAGAAGGCCGGAGATCCATCCCCGTGGTGATTTCCTTTCTTCTCCCCTACCCTGCATTTTCCACAGGCAAAGATTAACCTTTATCTGCAAGGATGGGGTGCTAGTGTGGTATAGTCGCTGCTTTCTGGGGTTGGGGGGGGAAACAGAAAACAAAAACAAAGAATCCTTATGCAGGACTTCGGATGACTAAATCCTGAGGGATCCAAAAAACAGAAGGAAACGAGCTTTGCACGTTAATCGATTAAAATCAATGAGATTTGGGGCGCGAGCCGCGGTGTGGCTGTGCGGGCTCCCACCAGAGCCGTGTCCCGCCGGCACCGCTCCGCACACAGCGGCACGTCCGAGACGCTTTGTTTTTTTGGGGTTTTGGTTTTGTTTTGTTTTTTACTCCCTTTACAGCACATTCTCCACACGAGAAGCGAGTGGAAACAGAAGGACCGAGAGCACCCGAGCCCGCTCCCGGCCGGGGTCCGCGCCCGCCGCGTCCCCTCAGGGCCGGCCCTTGTTTACCGCCCGCGCGCGGCCCCGCCCCCCGCATCACGCGACCTCCGCCGGCCGCAGGGCTGACCCCGCCGAGATCCCTCCGCCGCGGCGCTCCGCGGGGGCGCGGCGCCCGCGGGATCGTCCCTCCCCGCTCATCCCCCGCGGCGGGAACGTCCCGTGAGGCGGGAGAGGCGAGCGGGGCGGGGAGGGAACGGGAGAGAAGCCGGGAAGCCGGCGGAGAGCGAGGCGGTGAGGCGGGACTAGGTTGTGCGGCGGAGGGATCCGAGGGGCGAAGCGCTGTGATGGGAGGGGGAGGCAGGGCCAAGATGGCGGCGCCCTGTGGGCCGGAGGAGCCCGGAGTGGTAAACAGCTGAGGGGAGGAGAGGGCGAGGTGAGTGCGCCGGGCCGCCCCCCGCCGCCACCGCCGCGGCGACACCGGGGACGGCCGCGGGGACGGAGAGGAGGAGGCAGAACAGAGAGATGAGCGGCGAAGCAGGGAGAAAGGGCTGGGGGAGGAGGCGGCAGGAGAAAGGGAAGGGGTCGGGGGGATGGGGAAGGCGGGGGGGTGATGTTCCCCCTGCGTCCCTTTTCCTGCCTCCCTCTGCCCCCTTTCCTTCCTTCCAGACAAACTTGCTCTGGGGTGCTGCCCCTCTCCCCCCCCCCCCCCCCCCCCCCCCCCGCGGCTCCCCCCCCAGGTCCCCCCATCAGCCAAAGCGCCTTTTTAATTATGTGCTTTTCATCGAAAAAGGCTCAGCAGCCCCATTGCAAAGGCTGAGTAGCGATTGCCAGGTTTCTTCTCCCTTGGTTACTTGCTGAGGAGGTTCCCTTGTCCGGGGTTGGGTTTTAAATAAAGCAGTTGTTAAAGTCTGTCCCCTCGGTGAGGAAGGCTTTTCTCATTTCCTTGCTCCTGGGTAGGTAATGTGAAGTCAGGATGTTGTTTACTTCTTCAATAAAACATTTTGCTTCCTGTTATCACAAAGAACTTGGGAGGCTGCAGTTCTGAAGTTTTCACCCTTTGTTTGCTATGGATGCAGCCTCTGTCATTGTTTTATCAGTTTAGGCAGAGCTTCTCTCCTTGCTCTTCAGGGTTGGGGTTTTTTTAATGAGTCTCTTACAAGGCAGTGAGTGAAAGGAAGAACGTGCCTTAAAGGAATGTATGATTCAAAACCCCTGGAAATGACCCAGAAACCAGGATCAGGTTTTGTGTGCAGAACTCTTTCCAGAGCTGCTGTTTCCAGAGAACCTTCCAGTGAGTGCTAATACAGGTTTTCATTCTTTGTGTGCTCTGATCCTGCAGTTTCCTGACATTAACTTCTGGATATAGTTGTTGGAAATCTGTCAAAATTGTAGTGATCCCATTAGGTGAAAAAAAATTCCTCTTCAATTTACACGTGTGAACAGCAGGAAAGTAAATCTGTGAAAACTCTGGAAGTTCTAATAATCAGTGTAAACCTTGGGAATGCATCTGTCTGCTGTTGTCTTTGCTGAGCAGCAGTCAGATACTCTGCTTATCAGAAGCAGCTATGCCACACTGAAGTTTAAAGTAAAAAATCAGGGGCTTAAAATCCCCTACTCAGTGGAAACCCTTTTTGCTTTGGTTTGGTTTGTTCATTTGTTCTGGTTTTGTAGCAGCCCAGTTCACCCAGGACTACATTTGTGGGGAATTGCAGGGACTCACACCGTTGAAAATATAGTCAGAATATCTAATAAGTCATGAGATAAGCTTTAATTAAAATGATTTTATCTCTGGCTGTGTTTAATCCTGACACCTTAACTCTTTGTAACCTTTATGGTGACTAAAAAAGTGGCATTATTAATGGATTCCCATGTGAGATACACTGGCCAACTGCAGATGTTTTGGTGTTTGGACAAATACTTGTCTTCAGTAACTATTTGTAATTTAAAATGAATGCTGGCTCTATTTGCAGCTGGACTGCTGGGATGTTGACTTGTCCTGATTCCTGAAATTCTTCCAACTGCCAGGCACCTTCTTGTCAGCGCTGACAGGAGCTGGGGATGTGATTCAGCCTCTGTGCAAACTGAGTGGCCTGAAACGCATGTTTGCATGGTGCAAACACACACAAATATCTTTGGAATAGATACCTTTTCATTTGTTAGGAAGAAATCCTTTCCTGGGAGGGTGGTGAGGCCCTGGCACAGAGCAGCTGTGCCTGCCCCTGGATCCCTGGCAGTGCCCAAGGCCAGGCTGGATGGGGCTTGGAGCAGCCTGGGCTAGTGGAAGGTGTCCCTGCCATGGGAGGGGTGGCACTGGATGAGTTTTTAAAGTCCTTTCCAACCCAAACCATTCTGGGATTCTTCAATAATAAGCAAATGAAATAATCAAAGCACTTTGCAGTGGTGGAAGCAGGGGAGGGCACCAGATTTTGTGGCAAGTTGCAGACAGGTGTGTATTTTAAGATTGTTACAGCTTAATGTCTGGTATTATATATTCATGTATTTTAATAAACATCATGAGGACAAGTAATGATGTTTCCTTTATTAACATAAGCATTTCTTTGAGTAGCACATTAAGATCCAGAGTAAAGTTCTTGCAGTGGTGAATTGCTGTCACTTTCCTGGGCATTATTTGTGTTTTGTTTTTACTTTACAGTTACACATCATTTGCTATTCTGTGTAATGCTGGGTTTGATTCTTGGAGCAGTTAGAATGCCTTGATGAGTATATTAGATAGGTTGCAGTGGTTTCAAGGTTTACTGAATTGCTGCCTAACTCTGTGAATATTTTAAAAGGTTCCTCTTGGGGGCAGAAAAAAAAATGGTGCAGAGATTTAGAAGTCTCAGTCCTTGTGTTAGTGCCAAGTTTAGAGCTCTCTGATCACCTATTTGTAGTTAAAAAGATTCCTTAGTTGGAGTGACTTTCTGTGTGTAGTGTTAATTAAATTGTTCTAGAAAGCCAGGGCTTGTTCTTATTTATTTATTTGCTATTAATATATGCAGTTGTGTGTGAGGAATTGCAATAATTCCCTGACTGCCTTTTGTGGCTGGCTGGTTAGCCTGGCTTCTGCCAGAGGGTGAAGTGACAGCCCTTCCATGTTTGGGCTTTTTATGACATGGATTGTTTTTAAACAATTTTCCCTCTGACAGAAATGTGATGAGTAGCAATTAGCAATACTCATTAGCACAGCACAGAGTCCAAAGAATCTTAAATATTGCTGAATGTGATTTTCTCTCTTTGTTTGGGCTTGCCAGGCTTTTTTGTGATCTTCCTGTTCCCACGTCAGTTAAGCACCTGTAACAGAGTACAGGAGAATGTGTATAATATCAAGTTAGAACTGTAAATAATGATCTAATTTAGTTATGGCATCTAGTATCAGATCTTAATATAACCAATAAAATATTTACTATTAGAAGAAGCAAGACACCTTCATTCTTTGCAGATGAATAAATAAATCAAATTTATTGTATTGCCAGTTGTAGTGATCAGTTTGAAATTAGGTTTAGAGTGTTTAGAGGTATTATTTCTGGGTTGTGAAAAAGGGAATTATCAGCTACTTGCTTTCCTGTGCCACTAGTGGTTTTTTTTTCCCTGCTGGAACTTTTCATTCATTGTTTATGTCACTTATATAATGGCAATGTTCAGTTTAACTGTGAGGGAAATGTAAGATTGGGCCTGGTTAGGAAGCATAAAATGGGCTTCGGTTTTTTGTGGTGAAAGGGAGTGGGTTAGGCTTAATCCTTTCATGACCAACATTTCAAAGATGTGAGTGAAAAGGGCTGCTGTGTTATCAATCTGAATTTTTCTTTGAGCACAATTGCTGTAAAATCTGTCTGTCCTCATTCATGGCTTTTTCCAAAGCAGTACCTGGAGGTGTGACCTGACCCTACCTGCAATAGAAATCAGATGGAAAAGTGAAAATCTGGAGGTTCTGGTGCTGTGGTGTTAAAATCCCCTTTCCTCTTGGGGCAGAGGGGGCAATAACCACTTATTGGCACACCCTAAATTTAACTTGTGCTTAATGAAAGAGATAAAATGCTGCTGTTGATCCCCCTCCCCCAGAGTAGGTGCTCCTGGTGTCTGAATTTGGGTGTTGGCACAGCAAAGGCCAAGGGTGTGTTTGTGGTGTGTCCCCCTCCTCCCCACCCCTGCGAGCAGCATAACTGGCACTACCAGCTGCTTTTTCATTTGGCTTGGGATAAAAATACACTGAACAGAAGAACATCTTCTCTTGACAGACATACTTAGAGAAGTCATAATCTTTGGGAATACTCTGCTGTCTCTTTATCTGTTTAGCCTTTTCCAATTAATGTTTCTACAGTCTCTCCCTTTGTCTCAAGTTTGTAGCTTAAACAGTTTGTGTTGTTAAATTAGCTACTGAAAAAAGAATAAATTTAGACTTGGTTCTTGGATTGTTGGCTTCTCCTTTTCCTTCTGTAAGATGGCTCCAAAGCTGTATTGGTACTTTAATACTTTTTTACTAAGTATATCTTAAAGAATGCTCTTGAGTGTAAGAAGTGCTGTGGGTGTGATATTTTCCAGTGAGTTTAAAATGCTGCATTGTAAAAGGTATTTAAACTGACTTTTTTCTATGCTTTCCTAACCAAGTACTTTAGATCTTTCGTATAAAACTAATTTTAAAAGTTAGTGACGAGTCAGTGACTCAAATCACATGGAAAACTTACTTGTTTTAATCCTGTTAGTTGCAAGAATGGCTGCAGGGATGTGGGAATTCTTCTGATGAGGAAATGATTGCAATATTTGGGGATGGAAGCATTGGAGAGGCTCGTCTTGTAACTGTGTATTTGAGCAGAAAGCCGTGCTGGTGATGTGATACTGTAAAGGTGTCAGGGATGTCCTGTTCACAGCACAAGTATCAATTCCAGATACAAAATACCCTGACAGTCAGTGGCTGATCCCACTGTTTCATAAGGTGATGGGAGCCCCTTAACCTGGCCTGTGCTTATCTACAAGATTTGAAAATCACATCACAAATTCCTGGTGGGACTGTGATAAATCACACTGACATCACGGAGCTGAACTTCATCTGCCAGAACACGGCCTTTTCTGACTAAAAGCCTGCTGCCTGTAAACTACTTACTCAGCTGCCTTTGCCTGAAAAAAGTGTGACATTGATTTAAGACTATTGCTGCAATTTCCTGGCTTGTTCATTTGTGTTGGGCACAGATTTGGAGCATCTCAGTCTTCCTTAGAGTTTAAAATGACAATTGACTTTACCTTGAGAAATCCCCCATCGGTATTCCTGGTTTGGGCACGTTATGCATAAATTACACTTCTTTCCAAGGCTTTAGGATTTTGCACTTTGTTATTCTTGCTACATTTTATTCTTAGTGCTCTGTGTTAGTCATTTTAGTAAAAATACCTGAAGAAAGCAGTTTATGTTTCGGCAGATGCAGTGGTGTGCACGTCAGCAATGGTGTCATGTCTCCCTGAGTGCTGACACAAGATCTCTGCTTGTCCAGATCACCCAGAACAGTGAAGTTCTGCCCTAAACTAATCATGCTGCTGCTGAGCTTTCCTCACATTAAGGTTTATCTTGGTCTTCAATCCATTTGCTTTTTTAAAGTTGTGGCCGTTTGTGTACAGTGAGGTGACAACATTGACTAGTTTGGTGCAACTTCAGATAAACTTCCACTTTATGAGATGCCTGTGTGTAACATTGCCCCATTTTTAGATGTGCTTTGAAATACTTTTATTAATATTCTGAGTACTTTTGGAGTGGAGACTACTCTCTACTTTAAAGAACTCCAATGCACGATTGAAAAGTTGAAATAAACACTGCTGGATTTATTGGCACAAGGTCATGCCAGCCATCTGTTTTAGGGAGCTTGGGAAATGATCCGTTACCTACATGTGTGGTGTTATCAGTGGCTGAGCTCTCCTTATCAGCTTCGCCCTTATCTGATGGCCGGGTTTGTGCATGCCACCACAGTGGCACAAAGTTTGAAATCCTCTTACCTACTCAACATTTAACCGGGGTTTTCCCCATCTCTCTGCAGAGCCTGACTTCAAGAACCCATCCAAAATGTGTTTTATGATTTCACCAGGCTGCAGATTTTCCTCTGGCAGTATCAGAATCAGTGAAACTGCTGTTGAAGGTTTTACTGGTGTGACAAAGATATAATATAATGGTATTGCTCAAGGAAAATAAGAAAAAAATCACTCTTTTCACTGGTATAGGATGGGAATCAAACAGAAGAGAGTTGACAAGGTTTTTATGGGGTAAAAAAGCAGAGACTGGTGTTTCTGCTGCTTTAACTCTTAAAACAGGTTTTGCTTGCAGTTGTTTGGGGGGTGTGGCTATGCATCTCTTTTGTTAACAATACTTTAAACAACTAATTCGTGTTGCTGGGGAAGCTGGTGAATCTGTTGCTTAACCATAGCTGAGAGTGTGTCCTGATAGAAACTGGGGGACAGCAAGGCCTGTTTGAAAGATGTGTTCTCAGAAATGAAGCAGTAGTTTCCTTGGAGTGAGCTGCTTCCCCACACAATGTTGCAAATGCAGTCATTGAGTCAATTCAATATTATAATGATTACTAGAAATGGAGAAGCAGTTGATTCCTCAAAATGACTAACAGAGTGGAAGGCTGACTTCTTAGGTTGCATGGATGTGTGGCTTTAAACCTTTTGAAAGGATGGTGTCACTCTTTGAGCATTGTTTGTCTTCTAATGGCAAGTGCTTTTAGGAAGGAGTTGAAGCTTGTGAGTCTGCACAATGTGGGGAAAAAAACCAATTAAAACCCCCAAACCAAAATCCTAAACCACAACAAATGCCAGCTCTGATTTTATGAAAATCACAGAACCATTTTCCTTTCAGTAGAAAGCAACTTCCCTCACCCCAAGTCTCTATTCTATTATTATCCAAGTCTTGCTCACACTACCAGCCAGTTTTAAGTCTGCAGGTTTAGCATTTTGCCAGCATTAGACTGGAAAGGAAATAGCATTTAAATGTAAACACTTCAGTGATCAGACTCTGCTGGCTGCTGGTACATGACCCAAAGTTTCATTTGGACTATTCAGTTATGATCATTGAAAACCAAGGGTGAGGGGTTTTATGTTCTGCAGTGGTGATTACTGCCATGCTCCAGCCCATTTGTTGCTAGTGAAATGCCAGCTGGGAGTGTGGTGCCATATTATCACCTTTGAATTTGCAATCAGTGCCAGGTTAAGTAAGCTGATGTCTGGTGGCACTAAGAAAAGTGACCTTGGGCAGTTCTGCAACTGCAGAGTGATATGTTGCAAATGACAAAGTTTACTGGTGGACATGTTAACTCCTGCTGTCCAGTGACATTGTTAAACCTAAATATCCAGGAAAGTAATATGTATATCAGTAATTACAACATTATCATTTAAAACAGAGCAGTGATCTGTGGTCCTTGGCTAATGCCTAAAAATGTTTTGAATAGAATTTAAAGGCTTAAATTAATTACTGTATGTTCAGAATAGAGAAGAATCCTTTCTCTGTAAGATTCTACCTGCCATAAATAAAACTTTAGCAGCTTTTGAAGGGTCACAGTACAAAACCATGGTCTTGTGAAAACCATCTAGTTTGAGATAATTGCACAGCTTAACCTGTGGACAGCTCTGGAAAGGGCAACTGCAGCACCATTTGGTGTTTTTCAGACTGAGGGCTGATTTCTCATGCAGGGAGTGCACAACTCTTCTGTTCTGTGTAAAAAACTTAATGATGTTCTGACCATACATCTGGTGTGATAAGGAAGAATATCAATCGTGCCTTTTCTTAACCTCTTTCTGTTTTTTCTTTACTAGTGATCATGAAAGGTGTGTGGCTGACAGCATTGCAGACAGAAGCTCAGCTCATCCACAGAACAGGTGCTGTAAACACAACTGCAGTAGAAAAACAATTTTGTGTGTAAACTTGGTATGTGTCAGTCCTGCCTTCCATGGGGGAAGTGAAAATATATTCTAGCTTGGAGTGGGAGGGAAGAAGAAACCCTGCTGATAATATGAGGTGTGATCTAAAACCAGATTTGTTCTTCCACTGGGAAAGGTTTGGTATAGGATTCTTCTGGATGAAATAAAAACTGATTCATTTTGTGGTAGGTAGGTCAGTGTGACACCTGAACCCCTCTACTGCTGGTGCATGGGAAGAAGTCATTTTAAAAGCCTGACATGTCTTAGATTTGCTCCCGCTTAGCCCTGTGCAGTTGTTATCTGCACACTGTTGCATTTAATGCTTTATGCAGTTTTTGCACTGCAGAGTTTGTGATCACAAATCACACGAGTGAAGTCAAAGTGTCTTGTGCTGCTCAGGCTGCCCAGGAGCAGCAGCTGCAGCAGCCCTGCTTGAGTTTCCCAACAGCTGCAGCCTGGCCACATTGCAAAGTCTTAAAGCCCAAATCTCTCTGAGTGCAACAATGCAGAGCCCAGGGCAGTGAATTCCTGCCCTGGTCACAGGAGTGGAGAAGGATCTGGAGGTGTGTATTTTCTTCAGTTTTTAGTCTTATGCAAAGAACTGGAAAGGTGGTTTGAGGATGAGTTGCTGTAAGAACTCAGGAATGGAGTGATTCCAGGCAGTTTTTTGCATTTTTATTCAAAACTTTAGCTTCAGTTTACTGACCTGGAGAGCAAATTGAAAAAATGTGGTAAGAGAAAGCTTGGACAGTGTAGATACTGAGGTCTTCCGCAAAACAGATTAATGTCCTTGTGAAAAACATGAAGAAAACCTTGCTCATGAGTCATTGGCTTTTTGGAAACTCTTACAGCTTTTATTGCAGGTATGGAAACCCTCACAATTCTCTCAGTGTTAAATGGGCACTTGTGTGGAAAAGAAATAGGAGATATGAGAGGTTTTATATGGAAAGGGAAAAGTTCACTCATCTGCTGTCTCTTCTCTCCTAGTCTGGTAGAAAGACACCAATGAAGAACTTCCTGAAGTTTTAACCTCCACATTCATGTCAGTACGTGCATCATGGCACAGCAAGGAAATGTTGGTGAGCTCCTCTCAATGCTGGATTCTCCAGTTCTGGGTGTCCTGGAAGATATAACAACTGCATTCAAAGATAATCTCATCTGTGGTATGCATCCTTTTGTGTACTTTTGGGAAGGGTTTTGCTTTCACATCAATAAAGGTAGAATGATGTGGGATGTTGTTTTTTTTTTTCTGTCGAACACTGTCTTTGCAAATGCAGCTTGAAAGGAACTCTTGATATTTGGGGTTGAAATTGCTTTAAGGATTGAGGCTTCTCTTCAGTCCATTGTGCTTAATGGCATGGCTCCTGGAAGGTCTGTTACATAATTGTTAAAACACTATTACAAAATGACTAGCTTTTCCTGAGGCAGAGCCTCAGGTGTGAGCTGATGAAACTTTCTTTGTAAAGTATATCTAGAAGGAATTAGGTGTCGCCCACAGTATGGGAACCAGTGGGATTTTGTTAACTTAAAAAAAAAAATAAAAGAAAAAATCCTATTCCCAAACAAAACAACAGAGTCAGACTTTGTGAAAAGTGATTGCTGCTGTTGAGGCATCACTTGTGCTGACAGAGCCTTTTCAGAGCATGAGAGCACTGCCAGTGTCCTTGTCCCTGAACTTGCTCTCCTTTGTCTGCTGAATGGAGAGAACATCAAGTCACTCCTGAGCACTTTACTGGGTAAAGCACTCTTGCAGCTCAGCTATCTGTGGGGTTTTATGGGTAGACAGGAATTGTTGGTTGTTAAAAAACCTGGTTCCTTTCCCTGAGCTGAGTGCAATCACTTGAATGGTTTGGAACCAGGAAATGTAGTTGAGAGGTCACAATTTCCCAAAGGTCTGCTAAACACCAAGGACTGCTTTATGTTAAAAATTGTGTAATAGTTGCTTAAAAGTTCTGCAATGTCCTTGTAGCAAGTACTTCATTTTTAGTGTATTGAGAATATTTTTGGGTTTTTCCCTTGCTGTCTCCAAACTGACAGACCGTGGGCCTATGCTTGTCAACAACCTGGTGGACTATTACTTGGAAACCAATTCTCAGCAGGCACTGCATATTCTGTCCACTCTGCAAGAGCCTCATGACAAGGTAAAAAAAATCTTGTTATGGCAGATTTTAGCCTGGTATTGAAGCAGCCTTTAAATAGCATCCATTAAAACTCTATGGGTTCCACTCTGGTGTAGAATTACCTTGCTGTAGAGATGTAGTATCTCTGTAGTAAGAGTAGTTTAAGCTTTAAAAACAAAAACTTCAGAGGTCTGTTTCTTACAGAGTTGCTTAAACTGACCCAATTAAGCAAAAAATACCTATAAAGGAAAGGGTTTGGAGGATTAATGTTTTCTCTTTACAGTGCTCCTGCTGCAGGATGTGTTAGCCTAAAACAAATTTGGTATTTTGAGAGCAAGTAAGGATTTAAAATAGATTGGAAATGGCACTATAAATTGGCTGCTGCCCACATTTTTTTTTTTTATTTACTCATAAACATTTCAAAGTGCAGTGACTGCTTCTGGCCTGTATAGTTTGCATTTGTCTACCAGTACTCAAAGTTATTGCAGAGTTCTATTTCCTCTGGGATCTTGTATATTTGTAAAATGCCCATAGTTTCCATATTGACAAACTGCTGAATATAGACTGGTGAGAAAGAGTATAGAGCAGTTAAATAGAAATACTTTTCTTTTTCTACCACTCTCTGCAAAATCCTTCGTCAGCATCTACTGGACAAAATTAATGATTATATGGGCAAAGCTGCTACTCGTTTACCCACCCTCTCTCTGCTGGGACATGTGATAAGACGACAACCATCTTGGAAACACAAACTTTCTCAAGCACCTCTCCTGCTTTCATTACTTAAATGTCTCAAGGTAAGAACTGTCAGGGCTGTCTATAAAACACCTGATGTAAACTCACATACAGATGCAAAGCATTTGATTCCTGTTTTGATGTCATTTAGTTAAGCCACACTGCTATTAATATCAGCTGAATACTCTGTGCTGGTGCTGTTATTGCTGACAATCTTGTTTCTAAAAGCCCCTGTCACTGTGAGTTAGGAATGTTTGTTAAAACTTTCCTGAAATAAGTTAAAGACAAGAGGGCACTTGGTGAGGATGATGAATATCTTGAATGTGAACCTAATGAAAAATACAGTAACTTCCCACTGGTGCAATTTGAATTTGTGTGTCCTCTACTTGCAGTGTAGATGGGCCATGCAATGGACTATTCCCAAGTGAAATTACCTTGGAATTAGCAGACTTTCCTTTCTTAGCTACTGACATGCTGGATTACAAGGAGGTAGCTGTTCCCCCAAGCTTTGTGGGTTTTTTCCCTCATCTGCAGATTGATCAGGTATAATACTGTACAGCACTGTACCAGTGAATAAGAACTGAAAAGTGCTTTGAGACCTAGAATGCATTGTCAGTAATTGAATTTATTATGATAGTGAAGAATCCACATTAGTCATGAAGTCACATTTAAATGCACGATGCAGTCAAGTGCTCTTCAAAACAAAACCACCACAAGTTTGTAACTGCCAAAGGAGCCAGCTCCAGCTGCTGTTACTGGAACTCCTGTCGTGCCTGACAAGATCTGTTGAGCTTTGCAGTGTGACTGAGGGAGGAATGAAGTGTGTCAGAAAGCTGCTGGGAGTAGGACAGAGATGTGGAAGTTCTGGGGATGTGGACAGAGGGTAGGGACGAACAGGAAATGTGCTCTGATAGGTTTTGTGTGACTGAGGGAGAGCAGAGGCTGTAGACACACAGAGGAGGATATATCCCTAAAAACTGGCTGTCCATCAACCTGAGTGGCTCCTGGGAGATTGGACCCAGAGAGCTCAGCAGCACCTGCCCACAGCCTGACCAGTGCTTTGTGCTCCCTGTGCTGACAAAGCAGAGGAGCTACCAAGGAAAATGTGCATTAAACTGAGGAAGCAAGGAAGGAGTTTGAACATTTTCTGTGTCCTTTCCTAAAATCTGATTCTCTCTTCCTGTTTCATCCAGCCAAAGGTTTGTACTGCCACATCCCTTTCTTGTGGAACAAGCCAAGGTGTTCTAGTCATTGTCTGAATTACTGCTGGGTGAAATTTCCAGCAGCCAGGTTTAGTAGAAAAGCTTCTGATCTCTGTGTTGGTAACTGGCCAACACCCTTGAACACCCTGATCAGATCTGCAGTTTCTGGGCCTCTGAATGTTGTGTGTGTTTAGCTCTGGGAATGAAGGAAGGTGGTACATAAGATGCTTCACATACCAGTAATTGTTTTTACTCAGCTGTGGAACTGTGGTGATGTTCCCTTTTTAACTAAGTCAGGTGTTTATGCAGAAAAGCAGCAGAGTAGGGGCAAGAATCCCAAATCTGCTTTTTTCTTCAAGTTGTTCATTATGAAAAAACTCAATAATCTTAAGTTCTGGTAGGTTTAGAGGGACTGTTTTTCAATAGAGAACTTTTTCCATGATGATGATTCAATGTTCACTTCATCCTTGGAAAAAAATAAGTTCAACACATTTAACTAATGCAGGTTTTTTCCCTTCTTGCAGACTGACACAGATGTAGTAGTACTCACCACAGGTGTCCTAGTGCTAATAACCATGTTGCCAATGATTCCTCAGTCTGGCAAACAGTACCTTCATGATTTCTTTGGTATCTTTGGGCGTCTCTCAGCCTGGTGCTTGCAGAATCCAGGTGAGATTTCAACTTTGTTGCATGCAGTTGTGGTCTGCAGTATCCTTGTGACTCGTGTGCAGTTGGTGAGCACATTCTTTTGTGAGACTCTTAGTGGTCTGAGATTATTTAAACACAGAAAATGATGTGTTAAGCCCACAAGCTGTTCTGTTCTTTGAGAGCATGGGGGAGTTCTTTGCTCAGAATTTAGAAGTCTCTTAGAATCTTCCATTTGGTGCTGCAACTGCATGAAATTTCACTGAACCAAAGTACTGCCCTGATGACAGTGAAAAGCAGAGATTGATCTTAATGGAGAGAGAAGGGAAAATGCTAATGTTTCAGGCAGATTTTGGGGAATTTGATATTCCCAGATATAAACATGGGGGGAGGAAAAATGCAACATATATAAGAGTTTATTTTAATGTGCAACTATTAATAGTTATGAAGGTTGATAAAACTGGTTTTCTCAGAGCCCTGGCTTTGCTGAATTTGTTGGAAGGGGTCTGATGTCTAACACCAGCAGTATCTGTGAGTGTGGCTCATGGCTGAATGAACAGATGCTGTGTTAAGCACATAGAGCTGCTGTTTAGAGAGCCATTCTTCATTGCAAGTAGGATTGGAACTTCTGAAGTGAATACTAAGATTTGTCTGTTGTGATTGCTTTTGGTGGCTACAAGCTTTTAGTTTTACCTTTTGAAGTGAAACAAACCTGGTTTCCTTTTTTAATCATTCCGTCAGTCTTACTCAGGCTCACTATCTAGAGGAGTTTCAGGTTTTAACTTGAATAAAAACAAAGCTGTGCTTTGAGAATGACAGCACACTGGTTGGAATTAATGGTCCTTATCTTAATTTCTGGGTTTGTTGTGAGCTGATGACTAAGTATTGCTTGTTTTCTGAGAAGACTTCACAGTTTTAATAGGGATTATTTGTACCTCAGAAGACTTGTTCCAGTTAACATTTCAAATTTGAAAATACTTTGTTTGCATTCTTGGAACTTTTGTTCTTTTTTCCAGTGTAATGAAAAAGATTCTAACTACTTTTTCCAGGTCATGTGGCAGAGATTTATCTTGTCCATCTTCATGCCAGCGTTTATTCTCTCTTTCATCGTCTTTATGGAATGTATCCTTGCAATTTTGTCTCCTTTCTGCGCTCTCACTACAGTATGAAGGAAAACCTGGAGACCTTTGAAGAAGTAGTCAAGGTAAAATGCTGCCCATCTGTGTATTATCTGAGGCAAGGAATTTATAGCTGTATATTCCGATTCAATACAATTAATTTGCTAATTCAGCTTTTGTCAATTTGACAAAACCGTATAAGAATGAGCGATTTGACTGAAAGCTCAGAGCTCAGTTGGGATTAACTCTTGAAGCTGTGGTGATGTGTATTTCCCTTATCTGTTAAATGTAACTTCCTGAACTGTTGGGATCAGTAGTTTGCTCAGCACCTTTATGTGGTTTAGTAAAATCCAAAGCTGCTGCACTGATGACAAGTCCTTCTCCTTCCCCCCAGCCAATGATGGAACATGTGCGTATTCATCCAGAGTTAGTGACTGGATCCAAGGACCATGAACTGGACCCACGAAGGTATTATATGTTCTCTCTGCTATTAGGAAAGGCTCAAATTGAGCAGCTTTCTGTGGAGTTATTTCAGAAGGTTGCAGCAAAACCTTTTCTGTCAGCATTAGTTTGTGTGGGGGTGTTTTGCCACCCAGATTTGTAGGTGCACCAGGTAAACACGTAGACTTTCCTCATCCCAGCTTTCAGCTGGATGAATAAGCAGAAACTGTTGTGAAAGGTCATTAACAGCAATGTTGGGGTTCTAAATTAATTTTGTGTCTGGGATGGCATCTGTCTTCTACTTTACTTTATCTTATTTTTATGACTTAATGATCAAACATCTCATAAAGATTTAAAACAGTTTTCCCATAATGAATAAAGTGAAACTGCCAGAGATGCTTCATTGGCTGAAGGTTTGGGTCATATTCCTTGGGTTTCTTGAAGTATTTGATGGGATATAAGTGTTTAAAATGGCTTCAGTGTGTCTTGTTTTGGTACCTAGATATTGGTTCAGTTAACAGATCAGTTCTTTTAACAGGTATGTGTTAACATTATCAGCTGTATTAGTTTTCTTTAGCAATAGGCTCATTTGCCTGCAGCAGCACCACTTGCTGCTTTTCTCTTGTCTCCACAGGCCCAGCCACTGAAGAGGAGAATTTGACTCTTGTTGCTGCACAGTAGTGCTCTTGCCCTGCTTTTCAGAGCCACTAGGAAATCACTCCTAACTGGGAACCCATTGAATGTCACAATGCTCAATTTTGCAGGGGGGAGGGTGGCACCACTCAGGAGCACAATTGGCACAAACCTTCCAGTGGAAGCCTTCTCTTTTGGTATCTTGGACAGAGAGTATTTTACTTTCTAAAGCAACCCAGCCTTTCATAGACAGCCTTCTGGGCTTTCTCTTCTTTACAGTGAACTTCCATCCCCTGAAATACTGGGCAGATCTAATTTGGCTATTTAATTTAGTGAGAAGTAGTTCTCAGGATGAAGGAGGTAGTAATAGTAAAAAACATTCCCCAAACTTGGGAGATAAAACACAGATCTGAAACTGGCATTGCAGACAGTGTTTGCTTAAATAATACAGACTCCCTCACTGCTGGCATGTCTAAATTTTGACTACCAACATCTAAGTGTAGTTGAGCTGATTTCTACAGCTGCTGAAGCTCAGGATCAACCAAGTCTTCGTATGCTGTTCCTCCTTTCCAGAGTGCTCCATGGCAGACCATTATGGATCTCTGTGTCAAAGCTGTTTGTCTCTTCTTTGAGACCCCCTCTCACAAGTCATCTGGTTGCAATTTCTGTCTGGTGCCTTGTTCCAGTTTGGCTGGGAGCATGCAAAGCTGCCTGGAACAAATGAGCCATCCTACAAGCCAATTCCTCCTATCTCCAGGAACTTTTGTTTTTAACAATAATTGACTAACTTACTCTTTTGGATCCAAAAACTGTCTGCAGGTGGAAAAGGCTAGAAACTCATGATGTTGTGATAGAATGTGCCAAAATCTCCCTGGACCCTGCAGAAGCCTCCTATGAAGATGGTTATTACTCTGTGTCTCGGAAACTCTGCACAAGCATAAAACATCATCAAACTGACCCCAGTGCCAGCTCTTACATTGACACACAGAGCAGCTATGGTAAGACCTGCCTGATGGCTAATCAATACCCAATTGCTGGAGAAGAACTGGCCCTAGAGCAGAAAAACCCATCTCACTAATTTATCCCACTTAAAGTCTGATTCTTAGGCACCAGGAAGTAAACCATCATTAAAAAATAAATACAAATATATATTTTCTGTATGCAGACATGCAGCATGTTCTCAACATTGTCTCTTCATCCCCTGTCCTCCCTACCCCAAAACAACAAAAAAAAAGAAAAAAAAAAGGTTGTAATATAATGTATTTGATAGATATTTTCTTGGACTGGAAGAAAAGTCTCTTGCTACAAATGTGTATGTTGAATGGATTTGAAATGCTTTGATGAAAAGCCTTTAAGTTCTAGCCAGAAGAATCAAGGGTTTGTATTTCATGTGTTGGATGCTTTGGAATTTTGATTTTCTCTTTTATTTAACTTTCAGGGACTTCTACCCCATATTCCACTCCTCGGCTAACACTATCACAAATGCCAGGGCAGCTACCTCAGATTCTGAGCCCACAGTCCATGAGGCTGTCAACTGAGCCACAGCAGGTAAAGCAGAAGATGAAGCCCAGCAAGTTTTCATTCTTTGCACTTTCATAGTTTCTTGTGCCAGTCTTAAAAAGCCATGTTTTTGAGCTGTGCTGTGGATTCTTCAGATGGTGGTGTTCATTTCACATTTAATCTCTGCCTGATTTCCTGTGTGAAGACCTGGATCCGGGTGCTTCACATGTTCCTTTTCTGAGCTCTGCTGTGTTTTACTCTGTGCACAGGTCACCATCTGGAGCCCTTCTGCAGTGTGTGGTATGACCACACCACCGACGTCCCCTGGCGTTGTCCCATCAGAGTCATCCCAGTCTGCACCACAACCCTACAGCAAAGCTTTTGGCACATCTGGTACGTGCTGCATTTCAGAATTAAGCCTTCAAGGTTTGTTTTACTGGAAATTCTGGCTCTAGGTTGGACTGGCAGCTTTTAAATGGGAATGCCACATCATGCCAGTTGATAGGCGCTCCTGTGAACTGAGTACCTCACCTAGAGCAGTGCTGATGCAAACTGAGAGGAAATTTGTGAATTCAGTGCCAAAGTCTGAAACAACTTTTGGGAATCCACACTTTTGTGTTGATGAACAGTTGAAAGAGATTTAAGAAGTAAATGCTATGAGGTGGTGTTTAAATGTACAATTCTTCACATACAATGTTCAGCTGAAAGGAGGAAGGGGGAGCCTGCTGAGAGAACTTGTGCTCCTTTTCAGCAGGGGGGAAAGGAACACCTTTGGGAACACCAGCCACATCTCCTCCTCCACCCTGCACTTCAGATGACTTTGTGCATGTTTCACTCCCTTCAGCTGCTGCCACACCTCCTAAAAAGGTATTACAAAATTCTTCTCCTGAACTAATCTGGTTTTTCATTGACTTGCCTTAATGCAGTGACCTTAACTGAGAAAGAAAAATTAGAGTAGGTGGTTTATAAAAAAATTTTGCATTTCACTGCAAAAACTCTTCTAAATGTGGGCAACTATTGCCACTTCCAACTGCACAGTTGTCAATGAAAACTAAGGCAATTAATGTGTTCTGCATTTCATCTGTTTTCCAGGAGGACAAACCAGATTCTGTGAGGCCTTTACTGTACCGACAGCAAAATGTCACAAACAGCGATAAATCATTGGGTAAGCTCCATTTTCCTCTCCCCATTACTACAACCTATTGTAAACAACTCCAGTTTTTATTGACACTTGTTCCAATTCCCAAACACTTTTCCACAGGTTTTTTTCCCCCTGAGTTCTTTGTAGTTCCAGGATCCTGCTTTAACCTGTGATTCAACTTGAAACCTTCTTGTGATGCTTCTGATTTCAATTTGACCATTCCTGTTCAGCTTGAGAGTTTTTTTTTTTTACCTTGCTCTCCTGCATATTTAAAAACACAAACATAAGCTGAAGGCTGAAAAGATATCTATTTTTATAAAAGCTGATTCTTTGAGGATGATTATTAGAAGCACCAAGTTGTATATTAAATTATGCTTCAGCAAGTTATCTGTCACATGTCTGGATCAAACTGTAAGGCTGCACATAAGGATAGATATGATGCTCCCTCTTAAAGGCCTCTGGAAAATCTTAGTTTTCTACAATTATATTGCTGTACTTGAATCTATTTTAAAGTCCTGTGGAATACTGAAATCAGTAGGTTGAGGAACTCAGCTTTTAGTAGGTAAATGTAGATTCCATTTTCCATTCTGTCATCTAGCTCTGTGACAGCTGTAGAAAGGGATTTTGGAACTGTATTTGAGACTTCTGTGCCGTGAATCTTAACCATCTTCAAAGTGGAGATGATAGTGAAATCTGAAGCTGGTTTTCCATGGTATAGTTCTGTAGTACCACTGGAATCTGAATATTCTGAATTCCAAGTTACGAACAGGCAAAGTTTTTCACTGAGTTCTTGATCTGTGACTGAGCTGAGCATGAGATTTCTATCCTGCAGTATGTATCCCACAGCTGCTGTCTCGGTTTTGATCAGTAACCACATATTGGCAAGTCTGTATTACATCAGATTGCTAAACTTCCTTTTTTCAGGCAGGTCCTGTGTCCTTGTGGAGCCAGCTCAGAAGCTAAAGGGGAGGTTAATGCTAATGTGGAAGTAGAGCTGTCACAGTGCACAGCAGCCACCTTATTTTATTTATCTAATGGGTTAAATTGCAAGCAGCACAACCTTCCTCACAGAGGTTATGCAATAGCAAATGTTAAGTTTACAGAATTACATTTTGGGATCAGGACTGACCTGTGACTGATCTCTGTTTTCCATGTGGAATGGAAGAGGAGTCAGATACCTTCCTCCTCTGAGGAAGCATCTGAAGGAGGGACACACTTTTATTCTGAGGACGTTGCAGCAGTGAGACTTGTGTTTTGTGCTGTGCTAAGGCTGGAGAAAACAGCACATGTACAACTAACTTTTTGTTTTATGTTTTTTTTTTTTCCAGACATACCCAGTAGTAAAAGTTCAGTAACCTTAAGTGATCTTCCAGAGTTTTTAGGTGGGTTGTCATTTGAAGATAGCGCTGAGAAGGACAGAGAGGAAGGTAATGTCTGCTCTCCTTACCTATATCTTAGCTAAGGAAATGTTTGTCCTGTTGAAATACCAGATGTATCATGGTGCTCCCCCTCTCCTCAGATGCAATATCTAAAGAGATCTCCGAGATCACGACCGATGCTGAACACATGGTGCCTAGAGGAGGATTTGACTCCCCGTTTTACCGCACAAATGAAAGTCTGTCAGGCTCTCAGAAGAAGACCCACTCAGCAGCCTCCAGTGTTCAGGGACACAGTCAGACCTCTGAGCCTTTAACATCTCTGGACAAGTCTGGGCCTGAGGGTGCACGGGAAACACCCAAACAAACGTTTACTCCCATAGACAAGCCCTGTGGAGGCCCTGGGGAAAGCCCTGCTGGGAACAGGGAAGGAACCTCTGGGGAGCCAAGTATTCTCACTCCCAGCCCTTGTAAAGTACCAGCACAAAGGAGAGTGGTGTTTGGGAGTGGGCAGCCTCCCCTCTATGAGCACCTCTTTGAGGTTGCATTACCAAAGACTGCCTACCTCTTTGTTGGCAAGAAGACTGAGGAGCTGCTAAAAAAAGCCAAGGGAACCCAGGATGAAGACTGTATGTCCTCGACTTCTCCCGTGGAAGTGCTGGACAGGCTGATTCAGCAAGGAGCAGATGCACACACTAAGGAGCTGAACAAGTAGGTGACTGAAAATCTTACTTTGCAGACTTTATTGTTACTCTTTTTTGTGTTGGCTTAATTTTAAGCTGTGCTGAAAAAGCAGCTGCACAGTTCCTCCTTAATCTTTTTATACCAACTGACCTTAATTGTACTTTTACCAGGCTATAGGCTCTTTTGAGATGAACATTCAATTTTTTTACTTAAGCTTACCTGTTAGTGCTGCATTTTCTTTTTCCAGATTGTCTCTGCCAAGCAAATCTGCTGACTGGACTCACTTTGGAGGTGAGGAAATTTCTCATGTTTTGGCAATCTGTTCCTCTATTATTAGATTTGCTTAAACAATGACCTGCATACTTTTTGCTTGTGGGTTTTTGACTAATGCTGCAGAAGGATGATGCCCTCTACTAAGTCATGGTTTATCTGCTTAGCAAATAGCTGTGTTCCAGAGAGATGAGCTGCTTTTTTCATCTTTGAAAAGTGCAAAATTCTAGACACTTCTGCTTTTGACCATTTCAGCCTTGCTAAGCTTCACAGTGCTGCTGGTCATCTGATAGATCCTTGCACCTTCTCACTGCTCATTCAATCTAAAACTGATGGTTTTTCTTGCTTATTTATGTGTCTGTGTCGTAGTTTTGTGTTCTGAGGCTTCTGTGTTGATGGTGACTTGGCTTTTTTTTCTTAATCAAAGAAGCAATCCATTTGAGGCATATATCCATTGCTTTGGGAAAAATGTTTATGATTTTTGTGTTGGAGAGCAAATAAAGCAGAGAGTGCAGCTCAGTGACCTCTTCTTTGTCCCACTGCAGGTTCTCCCCCTTCAGATGAGATTCACACCCTGAGGAACCAGCTGCTTCTGCTGCACAACCAGCTGCTGTACGAGCGCTTCAAGAGGCAGCAGCACGCGCTGCGCAACCGCCGGCTCCTGCGCAAAGTCATCAAAGCCACGGCTCTGGAGGAGCACAACGCTGCCATGGTGAGCAGGGACGCAGCTCCACCAGCAGCTGAGACACACTGGTGCTGCTAAAAGTGTTAATTGGCCTGGCTGGTGTCTTTTGGTACCACTCAATTAACAAAGAAGGCTCATTTGTCGCTTTATTGAAGGCAATGTTTGTGGAGTGACTCGTGCACAGTTCTGTGGCTGTCATTATTAATGTCAGTAGTTTGTAGTTGACTGCAGGCAGCTGAATCCTTCATGCTTGACCCCTTCCTGCACTTGCCTTTGGATAGTGGTAAAGGCTTCCCTGTGAGTGGAGTGGATGTTCAGTGCCTGGCTAAACACCTTGCTGCATATTTGATAAAGTATTGTCCTTTTGCTCCTCAGATGAGGACTAATAGCAAAAGCTTTGGAAACTCAAGTGTTGTTTTCCAGAGATGTTCACTGTGATGGAATTTGAAGATATAAGTACACTGAACAATGTCTCAGTACAGATTTAGGTGTGTTTCATACTGTATTTTCATGTTATAACTAATTCCATCAACAGTTTCGCCTGATAATTAACTGTAAGAGCCAAAAATAAATTTCCAAGTAGTTTTGGAAGATTAACTTTTGCTTCAGCTGTGAGGCCCAAGTCCCTGTTGAAAGCATGAGAGGCAGTGGAAAAACAGCCTATTGCTTATTCATGCTTTGAATGTGGCTGTGAGTTTTCAGCCTGTCCACCCTTATCACCATTTTATCTCCTTTTCAGCCAAAACCAAGCCAAGCCCAACAGCTTTGAGAACATGCTCTGTATAAAATGTTGTGTGTGTGGAAAAGTGTTTTCCTGCATGCTGGTAATGACAGCTTTGCTTGGCTGAGCATAGATGTCCTAGCTGCTATGTAGGAGTCTTGTCTGATGCCTCATGTGGGATTCTTAACAGAAAGATCAGCTGAAACTGCAGGAAAAGGAGATCCAGGCCTTGAAACTGAGTCTGCAGAAAGAACAGGCAAGGTACCACCAGTTTCAGGAGGAACATGATAATATTGTGGCTCAGCTTCACAGCCAGATCCGACAGCTGCAGCACGACCGGGAGGAATTCTACAACCAGAGCCAGGAATTGCAGGTATGAAGCATCAACAGATTTGTTGTCTACTTAATGGTTTTAAAAATAACCTTCTTTGTAACAAGGCATGAAACACCTGAGAGAAAGCTGCACATTTTTATTAGAGATGTTGTCCTGATTCAGAATAAGACAGTGCATAATTGAAAGTGCTGAATTTAATATCATCCTTTTGTAGTTCTGTTTTGTCCTGTCTTCAGCTTGGAAATAGGAGAAGGCAGGTTGTTAGCTGGTTTGGAGGGGTCAGTATAACTTGATTTCCTGGGGGTTTACAGCCTCCCAGCTCTGTGCCCATGCTGTCCTTAGTGAAATTTCAGAACCCTGAGTGATTTTTTTTTTTGTCACTTGAACAGACCAAGCTGGAAGACTGCAGGAACATGATAACAGATCTGAGGTTAGAGTTGAAGAAGGCAAACAACAAGGTGTGTCACACTGAATTGCTGCTTAGCCAAGTTTCTCAAAAGGTAAGAAAAGTCAGTGTTCCTAAGGTCCCTTTGTGTCTTGCTGATAATTTTTTTATCTTGATAGTTTTCATCAGGTCCTTTAACTGAAAGAAGCCTGTGCTGAGCTCGATAGAGTCTGATACTAATTACACAAAAACAACACAGAAAAATGTATTTTGATGAAGAAACTCTAAATTCTGTTAAAGGGCTTCTGAAACTTCTTGTTTTGGCTTTCTCCACAGCAGGGATTTGCAGATTGAGCATTATGAATTTATATTAAAACTCTGCTAAATCTTGACAACTGAGAGATAGTGCTTATATTGTAAGTTGAATGGAAATGAAAAGTTCTTTATGAAAACGATTTATTTAACACTTAACTACCTATGAAGCATTGTATTTTATCCTTTGTTTCCCTTCCTCATAAAAATACCCTGTGAACACAGTGCCTGTCAGCTGTGACTCTCCTGACTTGTTCATCCCAATGCTGGATCCTGTTCCATTTCCCTTCCCAGCTTTCCAACAGTGAATCGGTGCAACAGCAGATGGAATTCTTGAACAGGCAGCTGCTGGTTCTTGGTGAGGTCAATGAGCTGTACCTGGAGCAGCTGCAGCACAAGCACACAGACACTACAAAGGTACCAGTGCAGAGGATTTTTGGGGAGACTTCCCTTGAGGTCATCATCCAGCAGTTACCAGCCCTGGGTTCAGAAGGAAAGGCTTTGTAACTTAATAGACTCTTTGTTCTGAAATGGATTTTCAGGGATTTGATTGTATGTTTGATCTTCTGTTCAGATGTTTTGTGCCCTGTGGGTTTGAGGAATATCTTCAGTGCCCCTTCTGAAAGCTGAGAAGGGGTTGTTGGGGTACACCTGGGGTCTGTTTTAGCCAACTGATGTAAATTCTTAGCAATTTCTTTTCCAAAAGCTAAGACTTTACTGTGCTCAAATGTAACTGACAGCAGATTGTGGGTAAAATAATGCAGGGTAGTAGTGCCAGAATTTGTGGAAAGATCTTAACAAGGATTTTACGGGTTTTGGTGAGGTGTTACTTCAAAATGAGCATCTCAGCCTTCACACTCAGTCATTTTCCTTTTAAAAGTTAACAGTAACTTCACTGAAACTTCTGTGGTTCATATGGTTTTACTTCCTGACTTCAAAGAAACCTTTTTCTAATTAGAAGCAAGAAAATTGCACAACAATATAACTGTTCCTGCGTGAGAGCACGTAATTAAAGAAGGTGAATAATACACTGTAAAAAAAGTCTTCTACTGGTATTTAATGAAGGTCGTGTTGGAAAAATGGATTTAAAATAGAGTTTGTCTACTCTAATCCAGTGCAGAGCTGGCAAGAGTGCTTTGATGAAAAGAGGTTTTCATAAGGAACATTAATGTGCTAATAAATTCCAGTGATGTGTCGTTATTTTAATAGTGTACATCCTCAGCAGGGCTGGTTTTCTATATCTGTTTTTAGAAATGCTGCTTTTATTCTGGCTTGCTTTAAAATGTGCCTATTTATAACATCAGAAACATGTCTAAACACCAATAAAAATAACACAGGATCAAATTAGACTTTACCATTGTGTTGTTTGCTTCGAGGAGGTTGAAATGTTGCACGCTGCTTATCGGAAAGAACTGGAGAAAGCAAAGTTGTGTGTTCAGCAGCAAAGCCAAAGGCTCGATGCTTCCCAGAAAAGGATAGCTGAACTGGAATCTCAGCTTGCAAAAAAGGACCACCTCTTCCTAGAGCAAAAGAAATACCTGGAAGATGTTAAAATCCAAGCAAGGTAGGGGCTTCCTATGTAATATTTTAACTGTGCTTTGACAGATGCACTGTCACAGCTGAGGCAGATCCTGGAGATTTTGGACATTGTGGTTTCTCTCTTTGCTCAGGGGTCAGCTGCAGGCAGTAGAAAGCAGGTACAAAGCCCAGAAGAAAATCACCCAGGCATTTGAGCTGGAGATCTTGGATCTGTTTGGGCGGCTGGAGAAGAGCAGTCTACTGAAAAAACTTGAAGATGATAAAACAGAAGCAGCTGAAGCAGCAGAAGAAAGGTAAGGCTGGTGGTGTGAAATCTGCAGCACCCATGTGGGATTATTGTCAGTTTTGGGCTTAAAAACAGTGGATGTTGCAAAGCTGAGTGTGTGACACATTTGGTTACCCCCTGTCTCTCCTGCTTTGCCCCAGAACTGTGAAAGGAAACCTGTTGAAGTACATAGCCAGAGGCAGAAAGGGAAAATAATCAAAGTAATCTGCCCTGGCCAGCATTTCCTTCTCCACTGTTTAATTACTGTGATTTCCTTGACACTGTGTCCTCTCTCTTCCCCAAGCAGGCTGGACTGTGGTAATGAAGATACAGCAGGACACAGTGAAGAAGCAATGGGTAGAAATGGAGAGACCAAACCTCCCAGCACCCGAGGCAGCAGTAGCAGTAAGGGGGGCAGCAGCAGTGAGCTCTCCACTCCAGAAAAACCCCAAAACCAGAGGCTGAGCAGTCGTTGGGAGACATCTGTGTTGCTGGAGCCCTCAACTACTGTCCCACTGACTGTAGGGTCACTCCCCAGCTCCAAGAGCTTCCTTGGAATGAAGGCACGAGAATTATTTCGCAACAAGAGTGAGAGCCAGTGTGATGAGGAGGGGGTCACCATCAACAGGCTGGCTGATGCCCTAAAGACTGAACTGTGTAAAGATCCAAGCATGGAGTCAAAGGTCCCTCCAAGTCCAGAAAACCTCTCGCCTAAGCTCCAGGAAAGCAGTGTTGGACAGCTTCATATCATGGACTACAATGAAACTCATCATGACCACAGTTAAAGAGGAAGATAGTCAATCAGTGTTATTTTCATATTCTTGGCATAGAACAGGAGGCGTGAGTGCAAGTTTAACTAAAAGCTTTTATGTTTCTTTGGTCTGAGCAGTGGCTCATGCAGCGGAGCAGGATCGATGGCCAGGAACGGAAGGAGGCTGCTGAATGAATGCAAAGTGGATTTTTGGGTCTGGAATTGAAAATGCCCAGCCTAACTCTTGCTTCTTTCTCAAATTCAATCCTTAGCAGCGTGTACTAATTTGAAGGGACAACTGTTAGCATTTGCAAGTATTTTTTTCCCTTTCTCCGTGCCCCCAGTTGAGTGGCTGCATTTATGAACTTGAGTGCAATATGAGGCCAAATTAACATTTGTGAGTTTACTCTGAATGCTTTGTATTTCTTTGCAAACTTCCCATTTAGAGCAGTTGGTTGTGCTGTCCAGGTGACTTTGGTTCCTTTCATCCTGGAAAGAAGCAGCACTAGGATTTCCAGTGCATTCTCTATTTTTGCCTGTCCACTGCCCCACATCCCTCAGAGCCCAGCCTTCATTAAGTTGGAGTCTGATTGAATGCCCAATTGTTTAAAGAACATTGTACCTCTGCAGAATGATTCATTCACCCTAATTCATGATCATTGTTTATATTGTCCTTAACATTTCCTGGGAAGTTACATTTGAACAGACAAAAAGGAACTGGAGCTTGTAATGCAGAAGAGACCGTAAATGCTGAAGACTTGTTAAAATACCAGCTTCAGATCATCTTGGTGTTTGAAGTGTTTGCCTGATTGACCTCACACTGTTTCATATGGGAAAGCAGTTGGGGTGGGAGAATAGGGAAGAGGAAACTTCACTCAAGTAGGGAGAGGATGCAGAACATGGAGGTAGAATTCCAAGCTTAGGAAGATCTGCAGAGGAGGATTTGCTTCTCTAATCAGGGAAATGTGCTGCTTCACCCTCCTTCATTTGTTTCTGGTTTGAACAAGACCACCATGTTTTAAGTCCAAGAAATTGTCTTCATTCTTCCTGACAATGCCTTTTCAGGCTTGACTTGGAGAACATGGTTTCCTTTGAGTGCTCTCCTACTCAGATTGCAGCACATTTTTGAGTTCAGCAGTGTCAATTTGGCTCTAGGTCTCTCCCCTTCACCCTCATCCTACTTCCTTAGATGACAAGGCTGAGGAGGAATCCTGCTCACATTGAAATCAGAATCCTGGCGTGAAGCCTTTTGGTGTTAATAATGTTTTAAGTCAATTATGAGCCTTCTGTGAAGGAGGATTGTGGGATCAGGGCTTGCCAGTGGTCAGACTCAATCTCCTTCATGACAGAACAGGGCCTGCTGTTAGGAAGGCAGTGCTTGTTTTAAGTGTCCCATGTGGGTCCAGGTGTACTCAGATGGTTCAGGCTTCACAGTTCCCCTGCCTCACTCGTGGCCTCTTCTCCTAAACATTCTGTGGGTGGCAGCTGCTGTTTAAGAACCACCTCACACAGAAATCAAGTCCAAGCACACTTGCATTTGTAGTTCAAATCCCTTCTTAGCCCGGGTGGGAACGAGGCTGTCAGAGCAGCTCAGCTCATTCCTGACAGGACTCGTCCTCCCATTCCCGCCTCCTCCGGAGCTCCAAGGTCTCAATACATTTCTGCCTGTCTTAAATTATTCTCCGTGTCCTTTCAGTTGGTCAGTCCGAACTCTGAGAGTAGAGGTGAACTTCAGTGGTTGTGTCAAAGCTGACTCTGCATGGAGTAGAGAGTAGAGAGTTGGTTGTAAGTGGCAGCCTGGTTTTGTCGGCGTCTTTAGGCTTTCTCAGACGTAGTGGTAGCAAACGTGGTAGCGCGTGTTTCGGTAAGATTTGGAGCTTTCCTGCCCCTTCCCTGCTGGATCCCAGCCTGGGGACTGAACGGTTTGCACACAAAGGGCCTGGTGGGCCAGCTCAGCTGGGAATATCAGAGGAGCTCGTTCCCATCCTGTTCTGCCATGCCTGGGTCTGGTGTTCCCAGGAGAGGCAGGTTTTGTGTCAGTCACAAAAATGTCCTGGCAGCAACACAAGCTCTTTGATAAGGTGGCTTTTTTTTCTTCTTTTAAACAGGATTTTAGCACCAGGATAGTAATGGAAACCACTTTAGGTTTGTTTATGGACCACAAAGATTATGGAGGAACAAATTTTGCAATTTTCTTTCCTAAGTCTCAAAATCATGGATCTGCTGTATGTAGTTAACTTGCAGTTTGTTTGAAGGGGTCCCATCAGTGAAGTGGAAACAGATTTTTTTAACTGACTGCTTTTAGTTAAATCTAAAATTGCTGTCTTTGTCAAGTTAATCTGTTCCCTGCCTCGCTCTTTGTAAGCATGTTAAACAATCCACATTAAATGCCATAAATATGAAATACAAGGAAATGGTACAATCGTAAGCTAAAGAGAATTTAAACCAAAAGGAGGTTTTGCTGTCCTTATTAGAATGTTCTAAAATGTCAAGGCAGTTGCTTGTGTTTAACTGTGAACAAATAAAATGTATTGTTTTGCACTACTCTGTGTTAAATTCCCTGCCAGACCTTCTTGGGACCAAACACGTGGAAGGGAGTTCAGTGTCCAAACATCTTCCCAGATGGGACAGTCCAGAGCAGGTCAGGGCTGCTGCCCCTTTGCACAGGATTCACCATTCAAAGTTCATTTTTCTGCATGGAGCCAAAGCCTTTTTTTCTTCTGTGACAAACCAACTCACCAAGAATGTGCCACTATAATCCATAAATGAACTGCAAACAGTTGAGTGCTGCAAGTCTATGGGTGAGCTTCTGTATGGCCTTGCTCCTGCAGGCCAGAATTGCACAGTGATTAGAGAAATTAATAGCTGGAAATGTCAGAGCCTTGTTTGCAAAGCTGGGGCTGCTGTCAGGACTTGGCTCTGTCTGTGCTTTTCCCTTCCATGCAATGCATACATGAGAACGTTTCCTCAGACCATGAGGAATTTTGGGGCCACTTTGTTCTAGTGAGGCAAGGTTGTTCTTTGTTTTGCTTTTTACCCAGACTGGCACTTTCTCACTGGTTCTGGTCTTTCATTGGTTTTTGCTGGTGGTTTTTTTTTTCCTTCTCTTCTTGAAATAAATGAATATTTAAAAGATTGCTCAAAGCAGTTTAGTAATCCATACACAAGCCTCAGCATTCCCATTAAGGGCTAAGTATAATTCTTAAATATGAGCAACAAAGGCAAGGGTCTAAGTTGTGCAAGTGACACATTGTGAACATGCTTTGGCCAAGTAATGTTTATGGAGAATTTTATATAGAAAATACCATAAATATCATCTTAGGGTTCAGTGACACAGAAAGTTGTTTGTACTCCTGCACTGGGATTAGTTCTACAGCATGGGGTAGTAAAATGAAAACAAATCACAACGTGAATTTAACTTGCCCTTACACAGGATGGGTTCAAAATAAGGCACCCCTTAAGCCTGGCTTTGCAAAGCTGCATTTGCCAGTGTAAAAAAAAATCATTAGATAAAAATTACCCATGGAAATGTATTACTGGGGTAAAAAAGGGAAAAATCAAGTGCCTTCCTTCCTTACTAATGCCAAGCAGTACATTTGGCAGTTCATAACATAGCTGGTAATCACACAGGAGACATTAGGGAAGGAAATACTTCAAATTCAGGAAATTAAAATATCTGTGCTGATTGATCTTGATTCGTTGGAACTTCTTAGCTGCTGGCACAACAGTGGATTTTAAAAGTGGTTACAAGATAGGAAATCACAGGAGTTGAGTTGCTTAATCTGTTCATAGTCAGGAGCTCTGCAAAGGAAGCCTGGTTTGCATTCCCATGGGCTTTGCTTTCCAGACAAGACTTCAAAAAGTTGACTTATGGTCATCATGATTTTGGTGTCAGTGGGCTTTACTTGGCTCTATCTTTTTTTTTTTTCCTTAAGGTCTTTTCAGTCCAGTTTTGGGCTGGCTGATCCTTCCTGTCTGCAGATGCTATTCCTTGTTTCTTTGAAGCTGCCTCTGCTCGTTGTGCTCGATGCTCCTCTGACTGAAAGCTCAAACTGCTGCTGCACCAGCAGCAGGGGAATGAATTCAGGACTGCCAGGAGAACCTCTCCTGCCTCGGGGTGTTTGTGATGTGGGGCACAGGGTGGTGGTGACAGGGAACAGCCGCTGGCTCTTCTGAAATTACAGCTCTGGGGATGGGAGCGGGCGGCCCCCCAGCTGCCCTGGGCTGTATCCCGGGGGTTGGGTACCTGTGACCAGCGTTAAAAAGGCCCTGTGGATTCAGGGCTGGGGGCAGCGGGGTTGTTGGAGCTGTTTGGAAGTTGCTGGAGGGAGGTTTGGAGGCGGCCGCTAGAGGCCCTGCCGAGCCCGTCCCTTTGAGTTCCGCAGCATCTCTGGGATGCTGAGCTCGCCCTCCTTGGAATCGACCCTTCTGGTTCCCTCCAGAGCCCACCACCATTCCTGACGCTTCATCTTCTCGGGGTCTGAGCTACGTGTGTCCTCTCGGTGTGTGAGAGGCTGGAGCTGCGTATTGAACATACACAATGGTTTCTCACAGAATGGTTTCTCACAGAATTGTTCAGGTTGGAAGGGGCCTTTAAAGCTCATTCAGTCCAACCCCCTGCAGTGAGTGGGAACACCTTCAACTACATCAGGTTCCTCAATTTGGCAAAAGCCTGATCTGACCCTTAGCTGAATCAAGGGGAGCACAGAGATGATTCATACAGATGCCAGGATTCTGTTGATGCCATCTATTACCAGCCCTTATGTCTATTCCAGCCTTTGAACAAAAAAGCAGCATTTATTTCCTGGACTAACTGACAGATCTATAGGAAAGTCAGCTGGTGCCCTGCCTGGTTTCTCAGTGTGTATCTTGCAATTTTATGCTCACCGAGGCTAAAGTAAAACTTTATTGCACTTTTGTGTTTGGCATTTACATCCTGTTTATGTAAATTCTTCAAACAGCTTGATTTGTAGTAGAGGAAAACAATTCTTGCTGTATCTTTTTGTCTTTTGAAGTGTCCATCCACTCTAGAAGAGGAGAACTTGTATGGAAATTAAGTAATTTGTCTGGGTGTTTTTGTGAGACTTAACTTTGCAGTCTTCCAACAAATTCTGGTCTTGTCATTATCAAACCTCAGGCTGCAAGTTTTATGCACTCATTTTTCTGCTTGGGTCTTAAAATGTTGGCTGCATGACACTGACTGAAAGGATAGGGCTAGGCTAGAAATTATTACTAAGATTTAGGAACTGTTTCTTGCATGTATGAATCTTATTAGTAAAATTTGGGAACTTTTTTGTGTGTATCACCTTGGTCAAGTGCAAAATGACAACTGCACTGGAGTTTTGAGCAGCAGTGGTGGGCTGGCTTTGTTAGGACTGTTCTGACAAACCATTTGTGCTGTGCTCATCCCTGGAAGCTGAAAGTGAGCTACACACTGGAGAATAATTTTGGACTCCTCATAGCCTGTGTGTTCAAATTTAAACCATAGGACAGGGCCAAGAAGGTTGGAAACAAGATCTGGGAATAGCATCTCTTGTGTCCCCAGCACTTGTCATCATTCAGTCTTAGCAGCTTGTCCTGAAAACATTTCCAAGACAGCAACTGTCACTGGACACTTGTCTGCACCATGGAACACAACGGGGCAGCTGCCACAACTTGGATTTTTCAGCCTGAAGCTGCCTCTGCACCAGGGATCTCAAGTGAAGCCAGGGAAGGTGGCAGTGGCATTCCACTGGCTGTGGCCCCAGTAGTGCCCAGGAGTCTCTCTGTGACCCTGTTACCATTTTGAGTTCACCAAGGTTCAGTTCAGTTGGATCAAATCTCCCTAAAAATAGGGCTCTGCTCCAGACTGGGTGGGTGCATGCAGTGCAAGTGCATAGGGGAAAGGAAAAAAGTGCAAATCAACGTGGGGTTATGGGAGGAATAAAAATGCTCCTGGAAATACTTTCCATTTCATCTAAGCTGTCATTCTTTCCTGTGACCCCTCCTCTGTATTAATTCTTCCTTCTGTTTTTAGCTGCTTGTTACCAAAACCTGGTGATTTTAAGGCAAGAGCTTTCTCACAGCAAACTGAGCTTAGTATGCAAGGGGAAATTGTTTGTTCAGGAGTGTCTTCCAGCAGGAAGGAATTTGCCTGTGGGATTGGACAAGAGCAGTCAGACACGGGGAGGACACTTATTTAAAAAAGGCTGTAGGGTCTGAGGTCTCATGCTCCATATTTTGAGCCCCAGGGCCATTGTGGGCCAGCCCCTTAGGTGGGAAATCTGACCTAATGTAATGCTAACCTTGCCTTGAAGCAGGGAAAGTGCAGGCAGTTTAATCTGCAATTTGAACAGGAACCATCTGAGCATGATGCTCCCACCACATTCCCATGGATCACATGGACTGGAAGTGGCTTTTATTTTGTGGAAGTCTGAGGAGCACAGGGGTGTTTTGTTTGGCTGTTGTCAGGACAAACAAAGAGCAAAATGAACTCTGCTCTCCTTTACATGTCCAGCTCTGACAGCACAGGAGTCAACAGGGGTGAGGGGAGATGTTCAGTGCTGTGAGAGGCTGCAGGAGGCTGCAGCAGAGCAGCTGAAGGACACTGGCCTCTGGAGCCAGTGGCAGGTATGGGAAACCTCCTTAGTGTCCTACTGTAAACTGGGATTCTGTGCTCCAGCTGACCAAACTCTTTCTGTTGTGGGGAGGGAGTTTTAGTGACAAGTCTAAATGTCACAGACATGTCTGAATCTGTAATGCCAGGCCTTTGCTGCTCTGCAGCCCATCCCTCAGACAGGCAGCTTGTGTGGCAGGGAGGGGATGTTCCTCAGAAACAAGGCTGAGAAAATGTGAAATCTTGTTTCAAATGGCTTGTCCAAGATTCATGTCTGAGAGATTAGAACCTGGTGAGTCCTGACTGATCCCTGCTCCCACTGCAGTGCTGGCCCTAGGGACCAGCTGCAGCAGCAGCTGCTGCTGTGGGGATGTGAGGAGCAGAGTGGCAATATCAGCAAGGGAGAGTGAATGCATGTGTCCTGGGCTGGCTGCAGGGCAACACTTCAGTAAGAGGACTCAGGATGGATCTCTAGTGTTCATTGCACTGTATTTGATCAGCCAGGTTCTTAAAGGTGGTGAGCAGATGATGCAGGAGCTTTGATCTTTTAATAGGGATGTTTGCCTGGTGGCCTCCAGGGAGCCTTTGGTTGTGGTCGTTGATTTGCAGCCAGGAATTTCTGGAAATCTTTTTCCTGCAATTGTACAGGATTTTTGTTACTGTTGGAGGTCTGAGCAGCAGGTGCTGTTTGGGAAGTTGGTGTCTCTTTCTTGCATATGGCACATCTAGGACTCACAATGTACAGCACGTGCCTCTTGGAGTAGGTGACCCATTCCTTCATGTTGTCTATAACGATGGGCAGGATGCTCACCACCCCTCCATAGCGATGCCTTGCTTCTTCCAAGCTCAGGTAGTTCACAACAGGGTGGGGGTAGCTGTGGGACAGAGGGAAATGATTGGCAGAGGAGTCCCAGCACTGCAACCCTGGGAGCCACCCTCAGAGCCCAAGGAAGAGCAGGAGTGCACAGGCAGCCGTTGGCCAAAAAGGGAAAAGCACGGATAGAATTGTACGTGGACAGGTGAGTCCTGCCAAAAACCACCCTGGCACAGATCTGGAGTCTTGGAGAGGACACACAGACACTTGGCCTGCAGAAATGAGCTCAGTGCAGAGCAGCAGCAGGAGGAAGGAGCAGGGAACCTGCCTGAGCACTGCATGGACCTCAGGGTGCTCACCTGCCCCGCCACGGCCCAGAGAAAGGATGGACAAACAAAGCAGCACTGTTGTTCTGGAGGGACACTGGCAGTGTTCCCAAAAGCTGCCACATGAAGCTGGGCAGCACCTTGTACCCTCAGCACAGCCAGGAAGGGGCTGTGACAGAACTGCTGGAGAAGCCAGCAGGGATGTGCAGTGCCAGCCCCAGCAGTGACAGACAAATGCCAGGGGCCAGGCTGGGCCGGGCTGGGCTGGGCTGGGCTGGGCTGGGCTGGGCAGGCACCTACGTGGCTCTGAGGGCACTGAGGTCGTTGCTGTCGTTAAGGAGCACTCTGCACTTCTCCAAAAGGCCGTTGGTGACACTGTCCCCAGGGTGCACCGTTTCCATCCTCTGGCAGAGGCAGCGGAGCTCGTTGCAGATGGAGATGAACATGTTGAGGATGCGCCTGTCTGTGGAGTTGTAGCAGTGGTGGTCCTTGTAGCACTGCACCTGCACAGGGGGAAATACCAGTGCTTCTGAAACCAGCAGAATGGGAACGTCTCAGTGGGATGAAATGGCTCAGTGCAGTGTCTGTCACAATCCTCTGCAAGGCAATGAGCAAAGCCCTTCTGTTAGGGAGAGGCAGCCCTTGGAAAAAACAAGCAGCTCATTGTGTGTCCCAATCCTGACAGCAGCCTGGCTTTCACTCTGCCTTTGGCATCCAATTGGGTTTTGGGCTCGAGTTCTGCTCTTTCAAATCCACAATTCTGATTTTATTTAGATTTTTCTTCCCCCTCAGTCTCCAGGTGGTCCAAGTTCTACTTTTCAGTACACCATGCTATAAAAATTCCAAGACAATTCACTTAGCAGCCCAGCAAACCCCTCGCCCACGTGGGACTCTCAGCCCTCAATCCATCATCCTCCCTGTGTAACACAGCCATTATTTTTAATAAGCACTATAGAAAGACACAGCAGCACCAATACCAGGGGGAAGAGGCAGGAATGCTGCTTCCTCCAAGCTGAGGATTACAGATTCCACGTGTGGCTGGGGAAGGAAGCTTGGTTTGATTGTTTCCTTGCAGCCTGCGTTTCTGGCTGGGCCTCAGCAGTGTTCAGCTAAAGCAGAAATTGCTGCTCAGCCACGAGATTCTTTCAGGGATAATGGGAGGCTCCTACACAGGTGCCTCTCTCCCCAGCCCTTCAGTGACCCACAAACATTCCTGGGCACTTTGTGTCCCCTTTCCCTTCAGCAAAACCAGCATTTCCCCAGGCCTGCAGTGGCCCCAGGAGCCAGCCCCAGTGTCACGGGCAGGGAGCACTTTGTGCTGAGGGATTTGTACCTGGACAATGGATGACACAGGTCTGATCAAATCGTGGGCTTCCTCCCGGGTGCGCTCCAGAGCTCGGATAAACGTGAACTGCTGCTGCTGGAAAAGCTTGTATTTCTCCTCGATCTTCCTCAGGGCCTCCACCACCTCGTTCATGTTTACCATGTTGACTTATTGCTGGGTTTGGGGTCTAAAGGAGAGAAAGGAAGCTGCTTTTTAGAAATTATGCAAATAACATCTCGCCCGAGCTGGAATTGTGTGGATTAGTGGAAAACATACATACCCCCCCTCCCAAAAAAAAAAAAAAAAAAAAAAAAAAAATTAAAAGGAGAGCTCTATTGTGTGGAAGCCCTGCAGCTCGGAGCCCCAGGCAGTCAGTCGGTGTGTTGGTGATGCCAAGGGGCCGAGGGGAGCGCTGGCAATGCGATGTCATAAACCCAGCGGGGGATGCTGCAAAGGGAACGGGGCAGTGCCTCCACCGCGGGGCAGGGGCGACCGGGGCGTCTCTCAGGGCTGCAGAACCACCGCCCCGGCGCCTTCCGAACTCTGCCGGGAGCCGGGGCCAGCCCGCCTCTCCTCACGGAGCGCGTTCGCTGCGGAAAGACCCGAAGCTCTCGGGGCGGCCTCGCCCGCCCCCGCAGCCCCGCTCCCGCCGCGGCGAGCCCTGCGGCTCGTACCGGCGGTGCGGAGCTCCCCGGGCTGGCGGGCCCGGCCGGGATGAGCGGGCCGGGCGGGCGGACGGCCGGACAGCGCGGGCCGCGGGCCTCGGCCCCGCCGCCGCCGCGGCAACCGCGCCGCCGTCTCCATGGCAACCGTCGCGCCTCGATGACGTTTCCCATCCCCGCCGCGGCACCCGAGGCGCCGGCCACGCCGTCGCGCGGTGGTGACGTTTCCTTAGCAACGCGTCCCGTTGCTAGGGGCGGCCATGGCGGAGGCGGAGGAGGAGGAGGACGCGGCCCCGGCGCGGCCGCCGCCCGCGGGCATCTACGCGGAGGAGCAGGGGCTCTTCCAGCTGCTGCAGGTGAACGGGGAGCCCCCGCCGGCCCCTCCGCGCCGCGGGGAGGCGGGGAGAGGCACCGGGTGGTGTGGAAGGCGATGGGCGGGTGTCCGTGTGCGGGACGCGCCCAATGGGTTGTTTTAATGGGCAGTTGCTGCGTGGGTTTGGTTTGCTGAAGAATGTCTCAGCCCGTGGAAGGCGAGGCAGGACGAGGAGAGGAGGAGGAGGAAGGGGGGACAGGGATAAATTGGGTGCGGGAAGGACGCGGTGAAGGTTTTGCCGTGGGTGTCACCGCCTGCTGCTCATGCCCCGGTTAAAGCCCTTCCCCCTGCGGTCCTGTTGTGCCTTTTCGCCGAGGGAAAGTCCGAAATAAAGCGAGAAAAGTGCACTTGTGGCGTCGTTGTGGTCTCGGTACCTGGTTCCCCTGCTTGAGGCGAGGGTGGGTTTTGTTGTGGAGTTCGGGAAAAGCCCCCGTGTGGTGCATGGGGCGGTTTGGGTGAATGGCCAAATATCCCGGTGCTGTTCCGAGGGGAGAACTTGCCGGAGAGCCTTGCCTGTGTGCTGCTCTTAAATTAAAAACTCGGTTTTACTTGCTCAGAGCTCACTCAAATGTACACATGTTAATTTCTTTTCCTAGGTTTTTTTTTTTTTTTTGTGCCTAGGTTTTTTTTTTTTTTTTTTGCTATGATTTTTTTTCTCTGTTTATTATGACTTGTGTGGCATAATATTTGTGTTTTGTTTTGGTTTTTTTAAATAAAGTACTCTGTTATGTAAGCCGTGAGGCGTTGGATGCAGCTGCAGGGATTCATATTACGTCAAACGTTTGTGGGATTTACTCAGTGTGGTATTTTTGTGCTTTAGTTGTGTTGGAGCAAAATAATGATACAAACACAGCTTGAAATTGTTGTGCTAAAATATATACAAAACACAAAATGTAAAAACTACATGAGACCCAAAATATAACCCTCCCCCAGAGATTAACAGAAAAACTCATGTGAAATTAAACTGAGTTTAGCAGAATTGGATCAATAAAAGGGTTTGGGCAAGAAACAGTGCCAGTGTCAATCACTGTCACCCTGAACATTTTTGAATTATAATAAACAAATTTTCTTTGTTTTTTTTATTTATAAAGGTGCTGGTAAGTGTAGTGCAGAGACCAGATTGTTTAGTTTAAATAAACATTGCTGGATAGTAATAATTTCTAAATGAACTTACAATAAAAATACAAATTTTATCTTTTATACTCTGTGTTAACCAGACCTTGATGCATCAGAACTTGCACGAACACCAGTTTATAAACAAAATTGAGTGTTTTAATTATTCTAATGAAGTAGAAAAGGAGAATAGGCCACTCTAATAGGAGACAATCTATTGGTGATGATTTAAAATTTTATGGACTAGATGGACTTTATGGAATTTACTTGCCAATATAAAAATGTTATGACTGCTGTTTAGAAATGTCTCTTCCAGCTTGAGCATTTCTGCAGCTTGTCTAAATTAGAGCATTAGTCCTGTTTGATGTTTAGTTTTAATTACAGGACTCGTGGCTGGGCTGAAATGTCTTCCAAGGAAATGTATGGATTTCTCAGGGTTGTTCTTTTTTCTGCCTGTAAAGCCCAAATCCTCCCTGAAACCATTGCAAGATCCCAACTGCTGTGGGTGGGAGCTGAAACAAGGCCCTGTATAACCTCAGGGGTTCAACATGAGAGTGGGCTCCAAAGCAGACATTCAAGGCAAGGCTTTAAGCCTTTTTTTGCTTTTATTTCCCCCCTCCTTCTCCCCACTCCTTTTCCTGCAGGAGCCAAGGCTGGTACAGGTGTGAAATGTGCCATTTCTGTGGGTTATATTTTCCACAACTCTTGCCTGTTCTCCACTCCTCTGGGCCAGTCAGAAATTTGTGGGAATGTGCCAGAGAAGGCTCATCTTGCCCTGCAGAGACACAAATTCAAGTTAACTCTGGTTTTTAAGTTCATTGTATGGTTTTATATCAGTGCTGCCTCAATCATTTTCAACCCCAGGCTGCTTGAGCCAAACCTTGTCCATATGTGCCATAAATAAGCTGAAACCAATAGGTTGGGTTTTTTTTTACTGGCAATTTTCTGACCATCTTCATTTTATCAGCATCTAAAATAGGTTCTGAAGTCTCAGTTTTTGTCTGTGAAAGAAAAGAAATAAGCATTTATAAGCTGTTTAGGATCCTTATTGTAACATTGCTGTAAAAATGCAAGATATCACGACTGCAGAGCTGCGTTAAATCTTCCTCTGACTTTGTCCTATTTATTTCCAGAACATGCTTGAAGAGCTATTAATTCATAAGCCAGATGATCCCATTGAGTTCATGATAAACCACTTAAAGCAAAACAACGATGATGGTAAGTGAAAATGGAGACAGCAGAAATAGTTCAGTTGCTGATTTGTAAACAGCTGTTGGGAGCTGTGCTGCGTTGGCAGGTGATGGATCAAACTTTTCAGGCTGAGTCTTGGGGAGGGGGGAAACAAAAAAAAACAAACGGTGAGCATTTTGGAATAGTTATAGGCAAGATGCTTTTAATTTCTTTTTTTAGTGGGTAATCTAATAAGAAATGCACTTTAACAGTTATAACAATGAAACCCTCTAAGGGAATAACAAAGAGTTCTGGTGTATCAATTATTAATGCCTTCTGTGCCCCATCTGATATTTCCTGTTGTCTTTAAGCTCGCTAATTACTCCTTTTGTCAGGTGTAAATTTGGGTTCCTATTCTACCTGGGCTGGCAGATTCTCTGCTTTTTGATTAGTTTGTTACTCGCTGCTGTTAATGAGTTCCACAGCTCAGTGGCATCTCAGCTGAAGGAACAGTGAGCAGTGCTCCTCTGTGGAACAAAACCTGCTAAATTGAATGGGAAGTCTGTATTCTGCACAATAAAAGCATGTACCCTCAATCAAATTATTTGATTTACAAACTGTTCACCCTTAGGCAGATTATATTTGGATATGCACAACTGAACTGTGATTTTTGTTCTGTGTGAGCTGTCAGGGAGAGCTGGTGTCACGGAGCTTTGATGTTTCTTTAAAACCAGAGTAAACCATTATGAAAGTTCTGCAGCATCAATGAAATCATCACTGGAGGTGCTGATCAGATGGATGTTGATTGAAATGCTGCTAAATACATTCAAGAAAAAAAAAATCCAATCCTGCAAATTGTGCCCAGCCTTTTCTGGTGCAGTCAGCATGAATAATCAATCTGGTTTGTAGAGCCATGGAAAATATGTGGAAGAATTTCCTGCAGTTTGATAGAATGCTGATGAAATTTCTTCACATTGGGCTAACATTTGTCCTGAAGCCTCACAATATTATTTTTAACAGAATTTGGCAGGTTTCCATCTCATGACTTCAATACTTAGAAGCTAAAGACAGAACTACAGCAGTTGTTTGTCAAATTACAGAATTACAGCAGTTGTTTGAAAATGCTGTCAGCTTTTGGACTGGAAAAACCTGTTAAGGAAGGAGAGGAACTCCAATTAAAATTAAAGCCTAAATGTTGTTTTAAGAATAAATTATGTGGAAAATAATGTAACAGAAATGTGTAGCAGAGTTGATTTTACTTTTTGATCATGGCGGAAGGTGCTGACTATTTAGAAGAAAAAAAAAACCTTATTAGAGCCATCAGTAAAGTGATGAATTTTCATGATCTTGCCTTGCCTAGACAGTTTTAGCCCTAGAGAAAATTTCAAACAGAGATGTGTGGAAAAGAAGCATTACATCTATCCCAGGTGTGAAGTTAGAGAACCTTTTTAATTAATAATAGGATCTAAAGTACTTTTAAAAATATAAACAAGTCTAATGGTAATTATAACTTAAAACTGCCTCAAAAATCTTGTAGGTCAAATGTGTGGCAAAGTGTTTGTGCTTAGGCTCTGTGCTATTGTTCTTTCATGTGTTCCTTCTAAAAACCTTCAAGGGCCACATAAAGGCTGATAATTCTTTCTTATTCAAAGATAGAAGGTTTTTTTACAGAGTATCTTGGTCTGTGTTAATGAAAAAGGCTTTCAGAGTCTGAGTGGCATTTCTGTGAGTTCCTCCTCTACACTCAAACCTCTGAAGGAATGTAAAAAACTTCTGCCTGAATGATCAGTATGTACCCTGTGCTTCTCCTCTTTGACAAAGGATTTCTCTTACAAGTTAAGCAAATTTTGCTGTATTAATATTAATCATAGAATCATTTGGATTTAAGTGAAACTCTGTGAGTCCAGCTGTTCTTTTTTGTTATTCCAGGATTCATTTTGTCATTGCTAAAATCATTTTTGAATGTCAAAACTTGCCTTTCTTGGATGAGTAAATCCTGTAGCATCTAATCAAGACTAAATACAGAATTAAATATGATTTGTTACTGAAAAAAAGGCATTTCCCAGAATTTCTGCCTTCGTTTAGCTGCTGCTTTGGAGCTGCAGTATTTAATAGTGACAATTTGTTGGTTGGAGGGTTAAACATTACCCCCAGTGGTGTCCTGGTTGTGCCCTTGTGTCATATGTTTGGGGAGAACGCTTTAGAGGAGCCCTACAAGTGTGCAAATGAGTAAATCAGTGAATTACACTGCCCCATCTGCTGCCAGCCACTAAGCAGAGAGCAAACCAGATTTAGTACAAAGTGAGCATTTACAGTAGCCCTGGGCAATATTAAAGCATGAGATGGTGTATATAATGGTATGTTTCGTTTTTTATCAAACGTTTGTCCAAGAAAGCTGTGTATTAAAGCTTC